GACGAAGGTCTGAATTTGAGCACTAGGGACTGTTAGTGCATGCCAAGCGACATCACAACAGGGGGAAAAACAAGTACTCACGGTTGCAGGTTGGGGAAGGCCCCGCGGAGCAGATTGGCCACAAAGTTGGCGAGGAACTCCTTGTTCGAGGTGCCGGCGGCGGCCTGGTCGGGGCTGTAGATGGGGCCCTGGATCTTGGCCGCGCTCCCGTCGGCGGGCTCGACAAAGTAGAACATTCTCATGAGGACCATAGACTGCGTCTTGAAACCCGCCTTATGGTCGTTGTCGGTGAGCACGAAGAAGACGTCCTGCAGGATGGTGATGAAGAACTGCTGGAAGAAGGCATTGGCCGTCTGGACGTCTGTCTTCTCGGCGATGTTGTTGATTAGCTCCAGGCACATGTTAAGTCCCGCAGCCTCGACGTCGCGGTTGTCGTGCTTGAATGCCCAGGAGCACGAGTCGATGACGAACTTGAACTGGCGGTTGTCCAGTTTCAACAGCGCTGGTCACAGTCAGCTTTTTGGCCCTCTGGGTGCGCAGGGGGAGGCGATATACGTACCGGGGAAGCAGTGGAGGTTGATGGAGCGCAGAAGGTTAAAGAACTCCACGCGGTGCTCAGGGAACTCGGAGAAGTCCTTGTTGATCATGTCTAGGGTGCACTCGAAGACGTTCTCCATGATGTTCGGGACCTGGTCCTCCATCAGGGTGGAGAGCTTGGTGATGATGGCCGACATGGCCTTGAGAACCTCGGCGTCGCGGGCACCGGGTACGTTGCGGTTGTAGTCGATGAGGATCGACTCCAGAAGGGGGGGTACCATCTGCTGTCGCACGGATTGCAAGTCCTCGGCCTTCTCGACGTACGTCTCGACGAGCTTGAGGATCTCCTTCTTGATGGTGCGCAGCCCGCGGACGTGCGGCATCTTGGTGGCAATCTCGCCTGCAATGTGTCAGTTTGCGCCCCCTCCCCCACATTCATACGTGTAACATACCTTGCTTCTGGACGGCCTCGGAGATCAGCTCGCTGGTGGCGCGGTACATCTGCAGCATGTCGAGGAAGATGCGGCCGATCTGGGGGTAGAAGTAGGGCCCGATTGACGAGCAGGCCGAGACGTTGGTCTTCATGATGTTGCCAATGACTTTGATCGTCTCGGAATCCTGGAGGATGACGGGGTTGACCCGGGCCTGTTTGATGATCTCATCCCACGCCGCGTTGGGGATGGCCATCAGATCGCTCAAGAGCCGCTCCTGCTGGTGCTTATTGCCCTGGGCGGCCACCATGTAACCACAGGCCTCGTAAAAGGTGTGGACCTGCTGGGGCGACAGGTCGCAGGTGATCTTGTGCATGTTGCGCACAATCTCCTCGATAAAGGGCTCCTGCTCGCTGGGCTGCAAGGCGACAAAGTGGCGGCGGCACTGCCTCGCAATCTTAATGAAGGTATCGCAAGCCATGTCCTGGACACCTGCGGCGGGGTTAGTTTGTCTACGCTTGACGCGCATGGGGGGGAGGCGGCCTACCCTCGTGGGACTCGTGCATGAACTCAAAGAGCTTGTTGACGACGGTCTTGAGGAACTTCCAGTGGGCCTTGAGGAACCGGGGGTACTGCCCGACAATGTACATAATATTACTGGCAACGACGGCCTTGTTGTCCTTGCCGCGCTTCATCTCGGTGAGGCCAAGGAGGTCTTTGATGACGGTGACGAGGAACCTCTTCTCGGTCTCCTCGTTCATGGCCAGGGAAATGGAGCCGATGGCCCAGCAGAGAACGTTGCAGTTGTGCCAGGACCATTCCGTGCCGTCCACCTGACGGGCGAGCTTCTCCGTCATGATGTTCTCGGTGTCGACCACGTCCAAGTGCGTCAGGTACACCAGGCACTCTCGTATGGTCTTGTAGAGCTGCACCGTGTCGCTCTCCTTGACGAACTCGCGCACGATCTCGCCCTCGTCGTTCTCGACGATGAGGACCTCTTCGGGGCGGACCATCTTCTCGATCATGACGGTGCGGAGGTTCGACAGGACCTCGTTGTACTTGTGCTTGCGCAGCGGGTAGTTGTTGAGCAGCGTCGGGTTAGGGGCGCCAGCCCCGGACATGCCGCCGGCCATGCCCATCAGGGGGTTGAGCTCAGTCATTGGGAGCTGCTGCATCTCGTCGTAGAGCTCATTGACGAGCTTCAGCCAGTAGTCGAGGGTGATCTTGAAGATCTCACGGTCGTCGATCTGGGATATGCGGATCAGGTAGTAGTGGCCGTGGGTGAGGAAGTCCCTGTTAGGCAGGTTCTCGATGAGCTACGACGGGTTAGCATGGCCGAATGACGACGGGTTGCCCGCAGACTCACGTTCAGGTGCATGCCGAAGAAGTTGCACAGGAACAGGGCCAAGTTCTGGATGAACTCCTGATCCCTGGAGTTGCTGTTGGGATATGTCGACTTGAGGTCGAGGCTGATGGGGATGATGGTCGCGATGGTGGTCAGGACCTCGGTGAACATCTTGATCAGCTGCTCGTCGTACGAATTCGGTTGTCCGGGCCCGCCGGTCTGGAGGCCGCCAATCTCGGTCAGGCACTGCAGGGCGACGTTGCGGAACTCGGGGACGGGCAAGAAGCGCGTGCGCAGGGTGTCGATGAGGGGCGTCTCAAAGATATAGCCGAGAGGGATCCAGTTGCAGAAGCGCAGTAATGTCTCGAGGGTGGCCTTGACGAGGCTCGGCTGGTCGGCTGTGTTCAGAACCTCCTGGCAGAGGGTGAAGATCTGGGAAAACTCGGCGCACATGGTCGTCTTCAGGTTGCGAGTCTTGGTGGACGTCATCTGCTCGGCCGAGTAATCGAAGACCTCCTCGGACAGCAGGCGCAGGATGACCATGTTGTTCTCGCAGATGGACAGGCTGGAGTGGCACGACGTGATGATCTCGTTGATGAAGGTGGGCCAGTTGTGTGGCCATTCCTGCTTCAGGATCGAGATGAGGACGAGGTTGAGCTTGTTGAGCAGCGTCTTCTGCTCCTTCATGGTTTCTTCGGAGCTGGAGCACTGGATGATGAACTGCACGACAAAGTTGCGGATACCTGGGCTGGTCAGTTGGGCGATACGGACGCGGGGTGGTGAGTTGATGGGCAAACCTTGGCACTGGTCTCTCGGGAGGACCTTCCATCTCGTCATGATCACATTGTCGAGCACCTGCAGACCCAAGACTGTAACCGGTCAGCTGCTGTTGCATTCCCACGTACTATTTGCGCCCAACGTACACTTTGTTTGGGGGTAGGTCGCTTCGGCAAGAATCTTGTCGACGAGGAGCCACGAGTCTTGGTCTTCCTTGAACTGCAAGGTCTGTGTCAGGGCCCGTATCTCACGATCGAGGCTGGTTGCTGCGTACCTGGTTGAGTGTAGCTTGCGCTTGCTTTTGCTGTATTCCAAAATCATCGGTCAGTTTCTGTAGGAAATCTCCAATGCCCAAGGAGGGAAAACTGCGGCGCACCTGTTCTCCACGGCCCTCGTAAAAGGAGCGGACGATCTCGTCCAGCTCAGGAATCGTGATGGCCATCGCGGGTGGTGCGGTCGGGCGGGTGGGGTGGTGGAAGAAGGTCGATCTCGATCGCAAAAGAGAGGCGGCAACGGGTGAGGGGGGAAATCTGGTCGCGGCACTCGTCCCCAGGTGAGGAGGGGGGAACGAAAGCGAGAGCGCGGGCGCGGCGGCGATGCGAGCGCTACGGCTAGATGCAGCAATAGAGAGAGGACGGATTCGTGTGTTTGGTTACAAAAGAGGTTTTTCTTCTTCTTCTTTCGCAATTGGAGGAGAGAAGTAGAAATAGCAAGAGGGAGGGGTGGGAGGTGAGGAAAGTCTGCCTGGCGTGAAGGCGAGAATAGGTTGGTGGTCCAAAAAGAGCAGTGCGAAAGAGGCGGATCGGGATGGCGGGGAACAACCAATTTTGTCAGCCGCCCGCTAAACTCCACCAGCCACAGGTCGCCGTGGTATCGATACCTCCCTCGCAGACGCTCTCTTTACCGACACTCTCTCTGTGTGCGTGTGTGTTTTCCCTTCCCCCCCGGTGCCCCCCCCCCCTCTTTCCTCTTGCTAGCCTTAGAGCTGCGAACCTACGTGTGAGAAGCTTGGGCCTGCCGGACGCACTGCCGCTGGGCACATCCTGTGCTTCTTCAGGCTACTGGATTGAAGACTTTCCGCTGCCTGCCTGCACTGCACTGCACTGCACCCCTCTTTTCCACCTGGGGGCACCTGGCGCGCTGAACCCTGCCCAACTGAACCATTCCCACGGCAACAGCATTGAGGCTACCACAATAAACCGAGGACTTTGACACTGCGGTGATGTATACGTAGGTAGAAGGGCTGTCACTGTCACCTCCCCTCGCCTCCTCCCCTCGCCCTCGCCACGACCATGAGCCTGGGGGAAGTACCGACGACATTACGGCGGCGACGCAAGGCATCGGAATTTTTTGTTTCGCCCAGCTGCTGGAAGCCCCCAAAAGCAGAGGTACCAGTACATACATATATAGATGCCGCTCGGGGCTCCCACCTAGCGGCAATACATACAATGCAGTCACGCCTCGGAAAACGAGGCGGCGTTCATGGCCCGAGAAACACATTCCAGTCTGGATTGTCATGCTCACCCCTCGTGGCACTGAAGACTGCCTAAAGCTCAAGCTTATAATCGCAACCACAGCCAGCCTAGGTTTGCTACAGGAATGAGTTGCATCCAAGGCGGCAACACAATGTCCCTCCTCCGGTATCATTACACTTACGCCGTGTGTCCCCTGCGAGGTGATCCCATCATTTTGTTCAAAAGGCTTACATGTCAATTCAACGGAGCTGATCTACATCCGGCCATCTGAGGCTTGGAATGACCTCGTCGACTCAATGCCCCCAGGCACTGCACCCTTGGCTTCTCGGGCTACCGCCAAGATAATGGTTCTAAGCTGAATGTTTATGTATTTCTTTGGCAGTTACCACGCCAGATCTAATACGGAAGTAGGCGGTGTTCAACACGCGCGTTTTCTTACGCCTTTTGGTATCCAACCTCAAATAGACTATCTTGGAGGGCCTTGATGGCATTGTCAATGTCCTTCCGGTTGGGGTCCGTCTGTGCCAATTAGCAATCACTCTGGTCACCGTGACGGGGAAAAACTCACCACACTGACACCCATGTGCCCGAAACGGATGTATTTGGGCGCAATCTCCTTATGGATGCCGCCGGCGAAAACGATTCCCTTCTTGGCCAGGCTAGGCAGCAGCTCCGCGGCCTTGACGCTTTCGGGAAGGTAGATGGCCGTCATACCGTGAGCCTGGTTCTCGGGCTTCGCGGCAACCTGCTTCAGGCCCAGGTCCGCAACGGCTTTCTTAACCTTATCGGAAACCTCCTTATGCTTGGCGAACCGCTCGGACAGGGGCTTGGCGAGGATCTGGTTGAGGCCGGTGTGGAGGGCATGGATCAGCTGAGGGGATGGCGTCGCGAAGTACGAAGGCTTCTTGGCCTCATAGTTTTGCATGACTGCGATGGTCAGCCGGCGTTCCCTTCATCTGCGCGCGCTCCCATCACTCACTAGGGGTCCAGTTCTTGAAGGATGCAAAGTAAGACGCAGGGGGTGTCTTGCGCTGGGCAAACGACTTCATGGCGGCGCTGCTAAACATGGAAATCGACAAGCCGGCGGGGACGCCGATGGCCTTCTGGCTGGCCGTAATGACGCCGTCAAGCTTCCACTCGTCAAACTGGATCTCCTCGACGCCGACGCTGCAGACACCATCGACGATGACCAGGGTCTCAGGGGACACCCGCTTGACCAGGGCGGTCAGCTCCTTGAGCTCGCTCAGAACGGCGGTCGACGTGTCGACGTGGGTGACGGTCAGGACCTTGTACTTCTTCTCGGACAGGGCCTTCTCGATCTCGGGGAGCTGAGGGCGCTCGCCGACGGGGGCCCTCAGCTCGGTGACGTTGCCACCGTACGTCTTGAAGCAGTCGCTGAAGCCGTTACTGAAGTAGCCAGTGGCCAGGACAAGGACGTCCTCGCCGGCCTCGACAAGGTTGGCGGCGACCAGATCCCAGCCGAGGGTGCCGGAGCCGGAGATGACAAACGGTTGCGCCTGCGGGTCCTTGGTCTGGAAGAGCTGGCGCAGCATCGACAGGGCCTCGCCAAAAGTGTTTACAAAACCGGGGCCGACGTGGCTCTCACTGCAGAAGTTCACTTCGGGTCAGCGCGACGGCTTGAAGGATGTCGGGAGGGGACACCCGAGAGAGACACGGGCGGTATGTCGGCGGGTCACAGACCTGTAGTGGCTCATGGCCTGGAGCACAGCATCATCGAACTCAATGGGCCCCGGAATGAGGAGGGTTGGGTGAGGCGGTTGAGAAGACATGGTGGAAAAGGGTCGTGTCTGCGTCTCGTTGTGGTGTGTGAGTGGTTGGAAGATCAATTGGAGCGGTGCAGGACGGCAGGCAAGAGGCGGACTTACGGCTGTTGATGTATCAGTTGCGGGTTGCAGGTGCCTCGAGATGAGCGATACCCGAGCTGATGAGGGGTTGCTCAGGTTGTGGAGGGGCATTGTCCCCTGCTTCGCCAATGTGCGGAGGGGGAGCTGGAGCCGCGTTAGGGGAATGTGCATGTGCGCCTATGCGTCATTCACACCTCGGGAGGTAAGCCGATCGTCTTTATCGGATGGAACGTAGCTGGGCTAGAACAAAGGGCTGGATGGGCTACGGCTTACAACTGCTCGGATCAGTCCCGCCGCTGGGGAGAGAATATTCCTAGGATGAGGAGAACGGAAATAACTCTGAAAGAGCGGGAAATCGGAGGCGCTGCTTCGGACCGGCCCCGTGGAGACTAAAAAGCGATTGAACCCGAAATGTTATCAAGTAATCCCTGCTTGCTTTTTAGATTGCAGTGCCTTATCATCACTGCTTTGGGGTACACTAACGCGGAGGACAGATGATTCCTATAGAATTGCGAGGACAGCGAATAGATGGCTCGGCATTCGAGTCCGAGCCAAGGAGATGGCCGTCGTCTTTCACTCGTCTTTTGGCGTCGGAAAGTGGAGGGCTCCGTATTCGAACGGGTAGCAAACGAGGACGCGACGAGAGTTTCGGGGGACGACACCGGACGATATCGGCCCTGACTAGACACACTTGCTGAGCCACAGCCATTGTGGAACATCCCGCCCCGTGCTGTGGCTTGACGGGCTCACCGAAGCCCCACTCGACCGTTGTTGCAGTTGGAAGCGGTCGCAGTAGAGCGCACTGGGAGCTACTACACTCGTCAAGCTGCTCAAGCAAGCTACCTGATTAAGGGACGTCCCATTCGAAATCCGCCCGTCAACAAGACAGCCGCGCTCGTAGGCTATCCCTTTCATCGCGCGACCTCGAAACCACCACAGCCAGACTCCACCGGGCTCGCGGACCTTTCCAATCGGCCGCGCGACCCTCCAGGCAGCTCCCGACCTCTCGGCGCCTACATCACGATCTCGAAAGCCGCGTCGCACGCACCGCCCTGAGCCTTCGCAGCCATGGCGTTCTTGATACTGGTCATTGGCGACCTGCACATCCCAGACCGCGCCCTCGATATCCCTCCCAAGGTGCGCCCATGCCCATGCCCGTCTTTCCGACTCCCACTAACACCCAACAGTTCAAGAAGCTCCTCGCTCCAGGAAAGATTGGCCAGACCCTCTGCCTGGGCAACCTAACCGATAAACACACGTACGAGTACCTCCGGACAATCGCCCCGGACCTCAAGATCGTCAAGGGCCGCTTCGACGTCGAGGCCACGAGCCTACCCCTGACCCAGGTCGTCACCCACGGTTCCCTACGCATCGGCTTCCTCGAGGGCTTCACCCTCGTCTCCAACGAGCCCGACCTGCTCCTCGCCGAGGCCAACAAGCTCGACGTCGACGTTCTCTGCTGGGGAGGCACCCACAAGTTCGACGCCTTTGAGTACATGGACAAGTTCTTCGTCAACCCCGGCAGCGCCACAGGCGCCTTTACCGCGAGCTGGGGCAAGGACGGCGAAGAACCCGTCCCAAGCTTTTGCTTGATGGACGTACGTATACTGTTCGCTGACCGGCGGGGCTTGTGGGACATTCTGAGGCAGGGGCCGCTTGCTGACTGTTTACAGGTACAAGGCATCTCCCTTACTCTATACGTTTACCAGCTACGGAAAGACGATAAGGGCAACGAAAACGTGGCGGTGGAAAAGGTGACATACACGAAGCCTGTGGAGCCGTCTGCTGCGCCATGACTTACGACAAACGATGTGATTCGAAAAGGCGGATGCTTGGAGGGGACGGGAGATACTAGCCACCGCCAGCTGGTTGTCATGATTCAAGACCGCACGGCATAGGGCAATGATGATCATTATAATAACATAAGCTTGACTCGGCCGTTTTCCCATGGCTCTATGCTCGCACCTATATGCGCACAAAACTCGGCCGTGTCTCTCTGTGGTATCCCCAACGAAACGCGTCCTGAAAGCCAAACAGAAACGGAAACAAAACAAGGAGGGTGGTATTGACCAACATATCCAACTCCTGAAACACCAGTGCTCATCAGTCAGTCGTGGGGGTGGGGGATCATTACAACATCATGCTCCGTCTTCTCATCGAGGATTTTGACCTCGTGTCCGGGAAGTCCCCGCTCTCCACGCTCTCAAAGCTACTATCTTCGAGGCTTTCGGCTTCCAAGTGGCTCCTCTTCGGTAGTACCATCGATGCTCTCTTTTTGGGCCCGCCGGCTTTTGCTCGTTCGGCCCCGTCCGTGCTATCGACCTTGAAGTCCTCCCTCACGACAGACGAGAGGCGTCGCGAGGACTTCGACTGGCGCGCCGGGGCGACGTCCTCCTTGGACTCAGCCCAGGAATCGTCGCTGGCTGTGATCGAGGTCCTGAACTCGTAAGGATCCACTTGCCGCTCGGGCGACGGAGTGGGCTGACTGTCGATGATCTTGCCGGAGACGGAAGCGCCGCTGGGGGGTTGTTGGGACGGCCTCTGTCCTTCACTCTCGCTGATAGATCCCGACATCATCGAAGACGAGCGTTTCTTGCGCAGAGGCTTCACCACAGTAAGCATCGGCTCCGCTGGCTTTGCTTTGTTGGCTGGGCTATTGGGGCTCTTTTCTCTTCGCGCGGCATCCTGCGAGGGAGACATGGCTGCCGAAATCTGTTTCCAGGTGCTCTCTTCGCTAGACTCGCGCTTGACCACGACAACCCCCTCGCTAAAGAGCTGCTCCGCGTTGGCGCTCCCACTCCGCTGGAGGTATCTGGTCTGGCCGGTAACGGCGTCATACAGCTCCTTCGTGGGACGACGCATTTTGTCCCGCAGATTAGGCTCTGCGTAGCTGACAGCAGCTCTTGCCCTCCTGCTCGGCCGGGATGTCTCGCCGCGAGATGAGATGTCTGTGGGCGGCGGCGTATCGCGCACACTGGACAGGCTCATTCTGGACGTGGGCTCAGGTGATGCTGGAGACAGCAAAGCAGCTTCCGTAGGGACAGTCTCCGTGCTTGGGAAAACCTCGGTAACGGGTGCAGGTGGCGGTGGTGAAGCAGCAGGCACCTCCACGGGCGACTCGGGCTCGGCTTCCTCTTTGATCTTCTGGGCCGCCCGCTCCCTTGCTGCCCGCGGCTTGGGCTTCTCAGGTGCCTTTCCATTGTCTGCCCCGGCCTTGGCACTCTTCACGGGCGAGGTCAGGTCGTCGTTTGTGCTCTTGGCCGACAACGGCTTCCTCGGGTTCAGTGGCGCCGACATGCGCTCCCTGGCTTCACGGCGCCTGTTGGCCAGTTCCTTCAAGGTCTGCCCGCTGGGCTGTTCGCGCGCAGCGTCGGGACGTCCTTCAGGCTCTTTGGGTTTCGGCAGTCCGGCGACCGGCTTGCTGTTCTTGATCGTGTCATCGCTTATACTGTACTTTCGCTTCGAGCCGACCTTGACGGTGGTCTGCGGCATTACAGGGGGCAAGCTGTGATCTTCTGCGGGTGGACGCTTGGTATCGGTTTGAACCTTTTCGCTCGTGGGGATGGAATCAGGTCGAACAATGACGGCCTTGTCGGACTTATTCGTTGTCTTGGGTGCAACGGCCGGCTGTGGTGCGGGCGCTGGCGAGGGTGACAGCATCGGCGAGCTGTGTGAAGTCTCTGGTCCTGCGGCGTCCAAGGGCCGGTGGGGAGATCCGATATTGACGGAATCCGTATCGACAAACCGCGACAACGGTGGTGGCCCAAGTTCTGGGGAGTCGGTGGTGTCGGTGGTATCTGTGATATCTGCGGCCTCTGAGCACAGGGCTAGGATCTGCTCGCGACTGGAAGCTGTTAGCACTGCGCCGACGATGAAGGCTGTTCGACCTACTCAAGCGTTGCTCTGGGGTATGACTTGTTCTCTGCGATGGGAGGCAGACGGCCCTCTTGCAGCGCTCGGGCCTCGGTGTCCTTGGTCGGCTCCCTTGGCGGGCGCCTCTGGGGCGGGCTGCGATGCGACAGACTGGCCCTCGAGATCCTCCGCCCTCGGGGACTCGCGTGTCGTTTCGTGGGAGGCTCCTGACCGAGGCTTGCAATAAGTGACATGCAGTCCATCAGCTGCGTTTCGAGCCTAGATCTGATGTCCAGGGCATGATCTGCTATTCTCCGGGCATTGCTGTTCTCGAGCTCCTTCTCTAGCCCGATGATGCGGCCATTCAGTTCGATATTATCTGATAAGCATCGAGAATAGTCGGCTTCGAGGTTTTTGATGCGGGCCAAATGAATGGCGTTGGCCTTGGCAAGGTCACGGTTTTGTCGCAGCAGCTTCCTACGCACTTTAACAAAAGTTAGCCGACAAGGTGCACCGATAACGACCAAGAAAACATACGCGTGTCGATGCTATCTGCGGATACGGGAGGTTCGTTTAGTCGGGCCATGGTGCATTCTGGAGGAGGAAGACGAGTCGAAGTAAGGCGATGGGACCAAAACTGAGGAATGGGAAAGTGAGCGAAGCGAAGCATGCACGACACGACACAAAGGTGGCTGGGAGTGACGATGGGGCCCGGGGGGACTGAGAGAAAATTTACCGAAGTGTCATTTATTTACACTCGGCCTATTCGGGACTAGTGTAAATAAGCATTGCAGGGAAAGGGGGTTGCTGGGCGCATCCGGACGGGTCAACCCCCCACCGCCTGCCGCCGCATTCTTTGCATGTGCACATTAAGTATTTTGACGGTGGTTTCTCTGACTTGTGCATCGCACCCAGCTGCCACCACCCCACCACGGCCCTCAACATTCTCAACCAACCAGTGTCCTGTGTACAACGACCCCTTTCATAACGCAAACGAAGTCTTACTTAAAAGCAAGAATGTCGTTCCCAACACGATCCCTTTCAACTCGGCTCCCCGGGGCGGGGTCGCATAATGCTTCAGCGGGCCCGTCGCCCATGCTGGTTGCGCGTATCGCCGAGAAGAAGGCTGAGCTGGAGCACCTGAGGGAGCTTCGCGACCTCAGCGCTGCCGTTGCAGGCCAAATGGAGGCTCTGGAGCAGAAACTAGCGACTCTTTCGGACGGAACAGAAGGTGAGGACGGCCAATTCCCGGCTCCCGACCAGAGGCAGGGCTGACGGATCCTAGCAATTGCCATGGTCGTTGGCAATTGGCATAATGTGCTGCGTGCCATCAACATGGCTTCCGGTATGTTGCGGTTACTTGCGAAGAAGAACGTGTCCTAGACTAACACTGCATCTCAGCCCAGCTCGCCAAGCCGCAAGGAGAAGAACCGTTGGAACCGGAAGGCGCCAGCCTATCTCTCCCTCAGACGCTGGTTCGCATTCCGACGGAGCATGCCCCAACACTGCAGGCGCAGACCGAAACCATGGCCGAATCCGCAGACAACAGCATGGCTACTCCGTGATGGATGGGTTTGGAAGACAGCATGCGACCGAAAAGCAACATGTCTTACATCACTACGGACGGGGCACGTACGGCTGCGTCGTATTGTCTAACACCTGCACTTTCTACCGAAACGCGCCATCAGCCCTTGCGGATTACAGGTGCAAAGGTGAATCCTTGGGTCAGCAGCTAGAGCAGGCTGGGAGCTGAATGGAACCCACGGGCAGCACCCGCCAGTGCGGCATGCCGCGAATACCTAAGTAGGCAGGCATCGTACGGATAACTGCTCCGGCACTCTTGGGATGGCGATTGGGCAGGAATGCTCCACCAAAGTCAACAATTGGGTGCGGGGTCCGCACGGAAAGACGCGACCGAGTCGGACGCGTCACGTGGTCATCGCGTCGTTGCTACGGTGAGACGGGCGTGCAACAGTCAGCTCGTGAATCATGGCTCCTCCTCGCCAGGGCCTCGAAACTGATCGAGCCTGCCATGAGCGCCCGTGCCCGCAAGCTAGCATTGGTCTGTGGCCTTGCCCTGCTGGTTGTTGGCGGGAACTGACATGTAGATCCCGCGAGGGGAAAGACCGAATTGAAGCCAATTTCCGCCGTAGTCATCGCCTTTGACAAGCTTGAAAAGCAGTCCGCCACGTCGCGCCGTTTGTTAGTGCTGCCATCCCGCTTCCATCACTCGCATCGAGCATTTTTGCCCACCATCGTTGCGAAGCTTTTTTTGGTTTGTTTTCTTAGGAGTCCTGTTCCAGCCCTCCTCGATACTGTCTTGAACAGCCCCCAATACTGCATAGTGTTCCAGCCAATAACCCCGCCATATTACCATACCCTGGCTGTTCCCAGGCGAAATTGCCCTCCAATTCGAGACGGTCCACCGAATCCCCCCCCCATTACGACCCCTTGTCTTGCAACCTGTCTGGGGTTGGCAGTCCCCTGTCTTGAGTTCAGTTCGGATTCGGAGATTGACGAGCACAATGGGGCGCCTCTCTCGATCCAAGGTAGCGGCCCACGGGCTTGGTACCTTCGAGAACACGACTATATCTGGTCCGAGCCACAAAGCTGTTGGCGGCGATGCGCCCAGCTACAACCATTTTGCTCTTCTCCGAGATCGTGACACTAACAGTGGCGAGAACACGCCAAACTTCATCGATTCCCTAACCACCAAGCTCAAGGAGCTTCACATATATAGTCCTAAAAAGGACCGCGTCGACAGGTCACTGCTGGCCCCCGTGGGTTGCCGTTTGAACCGATTGACCACTGATACCAAGATCGTTGGCAACCTCGGAAACGTCAAGGAAGGAGCTCAGCACTCGACTCCAGACTCGGCCGTGACCGAATTCACGCAAGGACCATTCCCTAACGGGCTGCCTCAAAGGCACAAACAAGACGAGGGTGTCCCGTTGTCGGCTGAAACAAGCATTTTTCAACCTGCCCTCTTTGGCCAGGCGCCGGACTCATTTGAAGCCGGCGACCCCAACTTCTTGACCCAAGGTTTGGTCATCCGGTCGTCGCGCCGTGTCTATCCTGCTAACCAATTTAGTCCTCTACGCAGCCGACCTCGATCACCACGTTCTTAGCATCAAACCTGGTATTGAGACATCCATCGCACGGCACAAGGCAGGTCAGTATGACTATGTGCTTTCGGTTCTGGACCCGGACGGCGGGGCCAAGCGCGACAACGCGCCCAGCGGACGAGGCGGCTTGACGCTGGACTTTGGCTGCAACGTCTTGGTGCAGGCCGATTGCATTCCTGAAGGTGTCTGCGGCCAGAGCAAACCGGCTAATGCCTACAAGATTCTAGCCACACCTTTTGTGACTGAAGACGGAGATCAAGGCGCGACTCAGCCCCCTGGAGAGACGGAAGACATGGCCGCCTTCGCGGAGCCCTCGGTTCGTTTGACCTCGCAAACTCGTGTCGGGGAGGAGGCAGCAACGAACAACTCGGCGCCTTCGGGGTTCGCCGTCTCTGCCGCCGAGGACAGGCATGCACAGGAGCCGTCTTTGTACCAGATCGAAAACTGCAAGGACAGAGTGGTTTCCGTTTCTACGGACGAGGGCAGTGTGTCGGTAGATGGGGCTCCTCGCACTCCCTCTCGGTCTACCTCCACCAGCTCGCGTTCTCGGATTGAAGACTCCGTCGAGGCTATTGACAGGCTCGAGGAGGAGTTAGAGGCCGTACACATTGCCGCACGGCTAGCAACGCCCACTAAGCTGGGCCGGAACCGGTCTAGAACAGATGATGGCGCAACTGCGGCTGTCACGGCCATGAACCGAACGACCATGACGCTGAAGCGAGCCCAGTCAACTGGCGCTGGAGCCAAGCCTGTGTCACAAGCGCGCACCGCGCAGAGGAAGTCGGTCTCGGCGACAGACAACGACGCAGCAAAGGCATCGCCAGGGAAATCGCCCACCAGAAGATCCACTGTGGCCCGCCCAACCAGCTTGCTGCCACCCAAGCCACCCGCCAAATCCACAAAGGCCCCTACGAAGCCCTCGTTTGAGCTGCCGGGAGAAGCCGTTGCTCGACGGATCAAGGAGCAGCGCGAGGCCCGCCTTGCCCAACAGGCTGCGAAGGCTGCGCCGCCGGCCCCGCAACGAAGCAGGTCATTGAAGATGCCGACGCGGCCCAATTTTGAGCTTCCCGGCGAGGCGATCTCGCAACGCAAGAGGGCGGAGCGGGAGGCTCGTCTCAAGGCACAGGAGGAAGAAGAGCGGAAGCGGCGCAAGTTCAAGGCGCGCCCTATCAAGGCGAATCTCGGTTCCGCTATATCTCCTCGAGAGACCGTGACCAGTCGTGCCCGTCAAAATAATGGGTCCGAGGTGGACGACGGTCGATTCGAGGAAAGCCAATCCAAGCGCAGGTCGATGGTTGGTACCCCGCCCACCCTTGCGAGGGCCTCCTCAACGAGGTCTCCTCAGGCCCGAGGCAGAGGTATGTCGTTGACGGCGATGACGGAACAGGCCAGTCGTGCTACGTCGACGTCGACGAGTTGCATGAGTGGCAAGCGAAGCACGCTGTCGGCTGAAGAGCTGGAGCACCAGAGGCACATAGGCAAGGAGATCTTCCAACGCGACAATTGCTACATCAAGGAAAAGGAGCGAGAGCGTCGCGAACGTGAATGGAATGCCAAGATGGCTCGCGAGCAGGCCGCCGAACGCTCCAGGCAAGCCGGTCGGGAATGGGCCGAGAAGCAGAGACGTAAACAGCTCGCCGCTACGGCTGCCACGGCCAGCCAGGCGGCGTGAGACATAGCCAGACGCTGTGGTTTATGGGCATATGCCAGTCTTCCTTGTGAATTATTCGACTAACGCGTAGAGCTAGCACCTGTATCGAGATTGCGTGGAGTTTAGGGGCGAGGGTATTCATTATTTGGCGGAAACGGCGGCGAACAGGTGCGCCCTGTGCGCAGGATTTGGTCTGTATTGTTTTTATTGGGGCTGTTCGGCTCACCACGCATCCAGCTGGGGTATCCGCTGTTTGATGTTGTTTTAGGCTTCTAGACCCAATAAAGAACCTGTCTGTTAACATGATGCGCATGAAATATCTTGCGGGTGAAACCTCCAGTAGAAACCAGATGCCCAGGTGACTATTGGATCCGCCTTGTTCTATACCGAGCGCTCCGGCCCTTGCCGCGGAGAAAGCGCGGGGCCGCACGGCTGGTGGGTATTCGGCCGCTAGCGGAGCATGTCAACGACACCCGCTTGAATGGACCCTTCATTTTTAACATCCACCTCGCATCCGCAGTAACAGCCGTATCTCGAACAGGCGGAAATTACAAAATTTCTCAAGACATCACTCAGTCGCTCAATCAAGACGACTTGGCACCCTGCACTCTCCCGGACACTCCTCTAGCGCTTCTTAAGAGAATGAGTCCCCCCGTCTTAAGCCCGACCCTGAACCAGCGGCCCACGGTGCGACTGGACCAGGGAACGTACATCGGCACGACCCTCGCGGAGCCCGAGTTTCCGCGCGTCGTGGAAGCCTTTCTAGGCGTGCCGTACGCAAAATGCGAACGTCTTCGGCGTGCGGTACCTCCCAAGGCCTCGGCGGACACCTTTGACGCCTCGGACTACGGCCCGGTGTGTCCGACGGCTGACCCCTCGCTTCCGTCTGACGAGCAGTGTCTTAATGCTAACGTCTTTCGCCCGTCAGAGGCAGACAAGAGCAAGGGGGTCCAGGGCGTCATGGAAAAGGGGAAGAAGGTGCCCGTGCTAGTCTACAGTGAGTCCCCTGCCCCCTTCCGCCGCGGTCCGGCCATGCGTTGACGGGTGCCTTCAGTCCACGGGGGCGCCTTCAACTTTGGGCGTGGCGGGGACAGGAACCTGGCGGCTTTTGTTGCGTTTTCAAAGCGCGACCTCGTCGCTGTGAGCTTCAACTACCGGCTCGGACCGCTGGGCTTCCTCCCCTGCGGCGTCGCCGCGCGCGAGGGCATCGCGAACAACGGGTTGCTGGACCAGAGGGCTCTGCTGCAGTGGGTTCAGCGGAACATCGCCGCGTTCGGCGGTGACGAGCAGGACGTCACGGTCATGGGCTTCAGCGCAGGCGCGCACTCGGTCCGTTCCCTTGCCCCCGTCTCTGTGCATGCGTGCGTGGAGGCACACTAACACCAGCCAGCTCGGCCACCACCTCCTCTCGCCGCCTTCCCGCGCCCTCTTTCATCGTGCGGTTCTCGAATCGGGGGCGCCTACGGCCCGATCCGTCCTTTCGTCGACGCACCCCCGCCATGAAGCGCAGTTCGCCCGGTTCCTCAGCCACGCCGGCGTGTCCGGTGACGCGCCCGACCAGGTCTTTCCCGCCCTACGCGCCCTGCCCCTCCGGACCCTCCTGGATGCCTCGCTGGCGACCTGGGCCGAGGGCGCAGCCTCCGTGCAGTGGCCGTTCCAGCCCTCCGTTGACGACGAGCAAGACAGCATCATCCCTCAGCCGCCCATCCAGGCCTGGGCATCCCCCTCGCTCCCTCAACCGCCGCCCCTGATCACAGGCTTCAATACCTCCGAGGGGACAATGTTCGTGCCCGCCGCCGCGTCCTCGCCCACAGCCCTGGCCAACTTCTTCTCCGGCCTTATCCCCGCCCTCACCCCGCAAGACCTCGAGCTCCTCGAGTCCCTCTACCCGCCCGCGTCGACCTACCCTCCCCCGCCCACCCCGGCCCATGGCGTCCAATTCCGGCGACTGGCGCAGGCCTACGGGCATTACGGCTACATCGCGCCGCTCCTCCACTCGGCGCACTTGGCCTCCGCCAAGGGCGCTCCTGTGTGGGTGTACGAGTACGCCGCGCACGCGGACCTCGCCGCCGCGAACCACGGCGACCACGTCCCCGCCGCGACGCACGACACCGACGTCCTCTCAGGGCACAGGACGCCCGGCCTGCTCGCCGTCTCGGACGCGATGCACGGGTACTGGTCGTCCTTCGCGGCCACCGCCGAAGGGCCCAACGCCCTCCCCAACGCCAGCGGCGTCGCCTGGCCACAGTTCGTCAGTCCCTTTGGCGACGACGCCGCGGGCGACTCGGTCCCGGACCCAGAGGACCCGTGCGAGATGCGCGGCAGGATCCTCGTGTTCGGCGAGGGCAACGATGAGCTCATGGGGAGGAAAGGCGAGCGGCGGAAGGGCGCCGTGGCGCGGGTGCGGACGCTGACGGGGCTCGAGGTCCGGCAGTTCCGGTTCTGGTGGGACAGGGTCGCGCTGAGCGAGGGTACGGGGGGTTGCTGAGACGCCTGGCCATTGCTGCTAGTCTATGCACATGGTGAAATGTTCTGCACAAGAGGAACGAAACGGCAGCGTAGTCCACACCAGCATCGGTATGGTTTGCAGTTGACAAAGGAATATTCATTCGAACATGTCTAGAACAGCTTTGCTCCTAGGTCGAGTCGACCCGGTAAAGTCCCTACTTTCCTTACCACCTAATTGATATACTAAATCCTCAAACTTTTCTTATGCAGCAGCTCCTCCTGCCGTCGAGGCAGGAATGATTGCTTGTCCCCAGACTGCATCAGATTACATCACCCGTGCGCCTTCATTATCCTTATATACACCATATTAGATGGAAGCGGCATGCTCCTTGGCGGCTTCCGCCGGTAATGGGTCCCTAAAATTGGTAGTATGTATATGGCGAACAAATCATGTGCGTGAACCGGATTGGAATCCCCACGCTGTCGGTGCGTCGTTTCAGAGCACTGCGAATGAGCCAGCGGAGTGGGCGATATTAATAAAGATTGTGGTTCTCAAGGTAGCAAAAGTGCCACCATATGACATGAACCCGTAAGCCTGTAAACGCCGCGTTGGGGCCTCGGCTTCGAGACCGTTGGCCTGGTGGAGATGGTAGGGTATCTTTGGAACAGAGCCCCAGCAGGCCGATAGATAACAAAACATTTGCGATGCGGCTCCAGGTTCTCCTAAAAGTTCTGCGAGATGCCGGCGTTTTGCTGTTGGGGGTAGTGGGAGGGGTTCTCAATCCGGGTGTTGCGCCGGGCTGGGTTATCGCGGATAACCGGCTGGCCGGGGAGTTCGGTGGCCCGCTGGTCGTAGGGGCCTTCGGAGTACGGGTTGTTGGCGTACTGGTCGTAATACCCGTTACCGTTGCTGTTTCCACCGCCATACGCCATACCGATGCCGTCAGATGTGTCCGAGTGATTGCCGGCACTGTACGACGACGAGGCGTTGGAGGGTCCGCGCTGGACGCCGGCCCCGCGGTTGAGGGCCGCCGAAGGGCCCATGGCGCCGAGGATCTCGCCATCGGGCGAGTGCGAGCCTTCGTTGATCAAGGGCTCCCCTGAATAGGTGTCAGTTCCACGAGTCGGCGGGGTGGTGTCCGAGTAAGCCGCACCTGTGTTGCCCCCGGACATCGTCGTGGACGCCTTGCGCCCGGTCGATCCGGCAAGAGTAGTGGAGCCCCAGCCACGGTATCCGGACGAGGCAGCGTCCTCCTTCATCTCATAGGAGCCGCCATCGCCGAGGGGCGGGATGGTGGGATCGGCATTGGGGTTATAGGCGTAGTCCTCGACCTCCTTGCGACGCTCCTCCTCAGCATCCTTGCGTTGCTTCCTCTTCCTCCAAAAGTAGAGCCCGGCCAGGATGAGCAGGGCGACGGCGGCGATGGGCACGACGACGGCGACAGCAATGGTGCCGCCGTTGCCGAGGCCGCTCTTGGAGCTTCCGCCCGAGTTGATGGCGCCGCCGGAAGATGTGGCAGATGCAGACGAGCTGGCAGTGGTCGGGTTTTGCGTTACGCCCTGGGTCTGTGTGATGACGGTAAAGACGGTGCTCGTCTTGCCGCCAGCCTCCGTGGGCGTAATGATGATGGTTGACACGATAAGAGTGGTCCTAGGCGGCTGCGGGATTGGGGTCTCAGTGGTCGGAGATGGACTTGGTGGTTGCGAGGTCGCCGGCGCAGGTGCTTGTGAGGTTGGCGGGGCCGGAGCCTGAGAGGTGGCCGGAGCCGGCGCTTGGGTCGTGGGGGCGGGTGCAGTCGTGGGAGCTGGGGGTGTGGTTTGGGGCGGGGGGGCACTGGTGGCCGGGGGGGCGCTGCTCTCGACGGGAACGGTTGTCCCAGGAGTCGCGGCGGGTCCCGTCGTCGGGTCGGTGTCCGGAGACGTGACGTTGGTGGACATGGCGTCTTCCTGTCTCAGCGAGAGTTGCAGATGCTGCCTGGAGGGGGGAGCCGTGTTAGCGACTGAAAGGAGTAGCAATGGTTGCATCGCCGAGCTTGTGGGAGAGAAGATGGTGGAAGGTCGACGAGGCGGGAGATGGGACGACGAATTGAACATGCACGAGCCGACACAGGTGACGGCAGTGGTTTTGTGTGCAACGAGCACAGCAGGACGCAGCAGGTTTTCTTGGGAGGTAAAGCAGTGATCTGCATAGGTGCCGTAGTGTGTACACAGGGGGCGACTCGGGAAGCACAGCGTCGAACAACGTACCTCGAATACGAGCGATTCGCTCACGCAACTCGCAGATCTGCACGGGCCTGCAAGCAGCGATTTGTCGATTCAAGAAGGTCGGTCGAACAGAGAAACAACACACGGCGGTACAAGTCGGAGGGGGCCTGGAGAAAGAGGCCTGGGGTCGCGGTTGCGTAGGCGCTACGGGTCGTTGAGGATGGGGTGTTTCTTTTTTTTTGTGAAAAAGTGAGAGCAGCTTGTCGCGTTGGGGGTGGTGCGTTGCGTAGGTGCTTAGACTAGACGAACGGGTCGATAGGTAATTAATTGGCCCGAGTGGCTGAGTCAGGTACTATCGTTCTCCTGGCTATTTCGCGGGTCGGCGTTAGGGTCAGCGGTTGGAAAGGCCTAGTTTGCGGCGGCGGCGGCGGTGGTGGTGTCGCGAGAGGTTTGTCGATCCGCAGTCAAGTGGACTCGATTGGCGATGGCGGGAGGAACACAGACAAAGAGAAAGGATTAGAGTAGGTTGTAGGAGGGAGAGGGGAGGGAGCAGGCGAGAAAGAAGGGAAGAGGGGAAAAGAGGAGAAGAAGGATGGAAGGAGGTAATCGCGATTTCGTGGAAGGGTGCCGAGTGACGATGATGCTGCTGGCAACTGAGAAAGGAAGGAAGGACCGGGGTGGGAGGAGGGATGACGGACGGGGAAACCGGGGTTGGGAAGGAGGATGGATATTGACGAAAGGCAGCGAAAGGGAGGGCGAAGGATGGGGAGGGAGGCTCCGAAGGAGCGGCAGAGGAGGACGGGAATATGTATGTTTTGAGCAAGTGAGATCGAATGTGGAGCTGCCCAGTCGTCCGCCCGTCCCCAAAGTTCCCAATAGGGTACCTAATGCCACCACGGATTTTACTTTTTTACGCATTCAATGGACGGCCAGCACGGGCGATGTCGTCTTCATGCGCTGTGCCTGTCTCGTCTTGAGCCCAGTTGGCCCCGAGAAGTGCCTTTCTTATTTTCATCCCCTCTCTTTTTCTCTCTCACCCACACACCCACACCCACAACAAATGCATACACACTCTCTTTTTCTCTCTCCCTTTCGTTGCAAGCCGGATGCAGGCGCAAAGCCAAACGTGCAGTAGATTGGCTGAGAGAAGAACATCCAAACCCCCTTTTTGACAGGCCGCCCGGGTGGTGGTGGTGGTGGTGGTGGTGGTGGTGGTGAGCAGCTTAGCAGGAGGCAGGTAAGGCGGCCATGGCTCCGGTGGCAGGGCACGCTGCGCTGAGCTGAGTTAAGTCGAGCTGAGCTGCAGTGACCCCTTTGGTATCTGTACTGGCGTCCTGCAGCCAACCTGCACGTCCGACCATGTACCTCTACATAGGTACCTACTTAGGTACTTACTATTACGTCTAGTGTAAGTCGTTCGGTGAAGAATTGACAGCTCACCACCTCCAGAGGCCCGGCTGGCTACTACATCGATGCCATGACTAGATGATGCTCAAGTCCGCCGGTGGCCCTTTGAAGCTCTCGAAGCAGGGCCCGAGGCGAATGGGTTGTCATATCCAGTGTCTCAGTCATCTCGCAGTTGTTGCGGCACATGCCCGTTGAAATTGCGAATGGCTGCACCCACTGCCTCTTCTGGCTCGCCAGCACAGTAAAGTTCCCGAGGAACCCTGGCCATGAGCAAAAGCCGGAAAAAAAAGGCCCAGGGTCGGTCAGACACTAGACATAAACAGGCCAAAGTCGCGTCGCTGGACTCGGGAATGCTGGGCTCCTCTCATTTCATTGGCATTGAATGCCTGCTGCTGCTTCTTGTCTCCGGCTCAAACGGGCCAGAGGGCGCAAAGCCACAGGCCCGGGCGCTGCATGTCGAGTCTTTCCCCTGACAATCTAACATTTGCTGTGCGTTCCGGACGCCAGTCTGTCCACATTGTCAACCTTCGTCGGCCAAACCTGGACGTATTCGTACACCTCAAACGCGACCCTCAGGACAGACGCGCAAGCAGCAGCTCAAAGCAGGCCATGCCAGTCTCGTCTCGTTCCCTCCCACGATTCTTCAGACGACCGGCATCACGGCTCGACTACCCTTGTGTACTCTCGCTGCGCTGGGGGCACCGGCGGGTCTGTCCGCCGCCTTCGTATCCAGAGTGACGGTCGACGGCTCCAGACCGGCTCACTTCCCTGCCCTTGTAGGAGGCACCCCCATCACTCGTTTGCCAGGGTCTAGGGGGAAAAGAAGAGGAAGAATTAAAAAGAAGGAAGAAACCAAAGAGGATGACTGACTGCCAGCGCCCGCGACCGCTCTACGCAATGAATGCCGAGACTCGAGGTCGAGAAATGTCCACAAATTGTCGAACCACCCGTTCGTCAACTGCATTGAGATGCCCACTGCGGCCTAACGCCTCGCTAAGAATGCCACCAACGTTTCGTCGAGGTCCTCCTGGCTCGCGACGTTCAATCTCCATGCGTGCTTCCTTCGACGCCGTTTGGGTCTTGGTGTACACGCCAGCAATCAATAACAACAATAACAACAACAACACCATCATCATCATCATCAACTACTACTACACCAACAATCCCTCATGCGTGTGTTTTGTTTCGACCATCCCTCCCGTCTTCTCTTCTGTGACCGAACGAGCTTCTCAGCTTGGCAATCCGCCTCGTGCAGTGGGTTCGCCGGAGGCGCTTGTGGAGCGGTTCGTATCCCAAACCAATTTTAAAAAAAGAATCCAGGGCTGCCGATCCTCGGCCTGTACGAATGTCCTTTGCCCTTTCGGCGTGGATCGCGTCCAATCTCTCGTTCGATTCCCATCAATCTGCCACAAGACGGCGGCGGCATGGCGTCAAAGTGCGCGCTTGCGCCGGTCAGATTGGCGCAACTTTTGACTCGCTCGACCACGCACAAGAAGGCGTGTCCTACCTGGCCTCGACTGATGGGCATTAGAAACTCCAGCGAGGGCCGTCGTAGGGTCTTCAGACATCCCTGGGTGGTGTTTGTTGCACATGGATTGCCTCGACGGCCTGCCCGTCGTCGAGGTTGCTCGGCCTGACCAGCAGCCGCTCTTTTCTCCGCCCGTGCAATTGGCGCAAGCTTATTCACTTCAATCCGGATTATGCCTTTGTCCGCCCATCCCCATACTGCTCGGCAGGCAAGATCAGACTCTGTCTGGTTGCTAAACCTTCTGTCACCGGGAGGCAGCGGTGTAGACCTCCGAGCAGCAGAACCTGTGTCCGACGTCAAACACGCCACGCCACCGCCCACCTGCAACCCGGCGCTCTGTTTTTACGTGTTGCCCTATCCAGAGAACCACATTCGACCGCTACGTATGTGCCATTACAGAGACAACCTGCTTCGTAGGATTGCGCCTCCGTGCCGCTCGCTACGGCGTGTATTATCACTCACTCTGTGGGCACATATACCCCACATGACGTTTATCCTCTTCAACTCTCCAATCCCAGCTGGGCATCCGGGAACAGCAACGGGGCAACATCGCCAAGGGTGCTCCCGATATGACGAAAGGACTGGCCAAATAATGGCGGGATCACTCGCTATACCTTCAGTCTGGCACCTCGCCCTCTGAGCCAAAGATCAGCACCAACCAACCCGGCTGGCAAAACGTCATGTTCCCCTCACGTCCTCTCCACATCCTTGGAGCATTGACGAAACTTCGAAGTCCCCCTCTGTCCTTGGAAATATGGCGGCAATAATTCTTTGTCCTCGATCCATCCCACCATCTCAACCCTGCCCAGAACCCATTAAACGCAAGCCTCTATCCGCCTCAAAACACAATCGTTCCTCGTGTGACCTGTGTTCGGATTGCGGCAGACGGCTGCAGCGTCAGCACTTGGGGGGGTCGTGTCCAGGCAGTCGGCTCGACGTCGTGTCACCTCAGCCCAAGCTGCTGAACTTGCATCCGTTGAAGCTCGGAACCCGGCGGCCCGTCTAAACCGGCTCATCTCTGACTCCTGGAGCCAGCGCGCAGTCAGTACGCAGCAGCTGCGTGGCGAGGAAGCGCGGGCACTTGCACTTGAAAGACTACACAAACTTAACGTTGGCCCAGGGCAGGTCAGTATGGAGTTGCGGACAGCTACACTAGATACAGTACAGACAGACAGACGCCAATGCCCCTGCCAGCGGATGTACTATCCCGTCACCGTGTGCTTCCCGGACATGACTTGCGTCTTTGCCGGGTCGGTCTTTGATCCTTCCCAGCCCGTTTTTCAACCGGCTCTGAGATAGCACTTGGCTAGCTCAACGAGCTCAACGCCGCTCGTCTGCCCTAGGGGCCCGGGAGCTCCTTCGCCCGGCCGGCCGCCCGTTTGCCACATACGCCACACACGTGGCTGTGCCCTCCCAGATCGCCAAAAACCATCACCCAGCCCTCCTTCCATCCATCATCATTGGCTCGTGAATCTAAGCCAACGCCGCTGACTGCCAGCCCGGCCAAGCCCGGCCAAGCGCGACCACTCCCGCTCCGTACACAAGCCGGTCAACAAAAGGTCCAATTTAAAAACAACTCTGTTTTTAAACGTCTTTTGGGCGGTGTCATGTTGTCCAACCGCGTCTTTGTCGACGTCTGCAGCCGTTCGCCCCTCGCGTCCTCCCCTCATAGTGATGATCCCTGACGGAAACGCAGCTTTGTTTCTCCGACACGAGATCATAGTGTACTGCAGCGTTACCATGCCGAACCTGACTCGCCCACGGGCAAATTCTGCTAAGCAGGAAACCGGTCAAAGGTTTTTTTAATTTTAATTTTTTTTTCTATTTTTATTTTTTTCCTAAGCACCTCTCCTCTTCACTCCCCCCCACCCTGCACCAAGGAGACACCCACTCCGCGACCAGCTGGCCGGGACGATCGCCACACGACGGGGTACGTGCCGCACCAACGTCGGCCGCCGGACAACTGGGTACACATTTCCGGCCTTCCGTGATACCGTGCCCGCCTATTCTGATTGAGGCGGCTGTGTCCGAACTGGTCGCTCCCAAATTCCGTCCAATGCCCCCCGAGGGAGAGGAGGAAAGGTGCCCATCCGCGGACGGCCGTCATCGACACCTGTGAGTTCTATCTTGAGCGTCGGACTGACCGACCTTCTCCCCTGGGGCATCTCGACCGCTCTGGGCGTTGCTGTTGAGTAAGGAGCGAGTTGCAGTGGGGCGGAAAAATCTGTTTACCCGACGGAACAAGCGAGGTGAATGCGGGTCCGTTAGAGTTTGCTGCCGCGGCGGGATGAGAGACAGGGGTATCGTGGGAACCGTCGAGCCTGGGCCGACAACCATCATAGTTAGCTGCCTGTAGACTTTGCTGGTGAGATTCGACAGACAACACCTGGGATCCCAAATGGCAGGCGATACTTGCCATCTGCTCCGCCTCAGGGTGGTTAGCACCAATCAATGGTCACCATGTCAACTCGCAGCTCAATATACTTCTGTTATATTCATCATATAACTGTTGGTGGCCGGCGAATGGTACAAGAGTTCCCAGTCCCTCCTTTTTCTCTTCTATATGCAAAAGGCCCCGAACGAAGCTAGGCGGGGGGCAAGACCGCGCGGGTGTGGTTCAAGTCAATAAAAATAAACTGATGAGTCGTGACCCGGATACTCCACGCAACGAAACTCTGAAAATGGAGGTTTCGACGGAATGAAAATAAAAAATAAAAAAAAAAAAGACATTAGCGGTACATCGCTACTAAATGCGAGAAGAAACAACACCGTTATGCAAATTCCGGAAAAGAGACCTCCATAGACTGGCCGGCGGGCTGGTCCCTCTTTTATGTGTGCTTGTCCGTGCAGATTCATGTACATGGAAGGATGTCTATGCGAGCGAAGATGCCAAAAAGTCGTGAACCGTAGATTCGGCGCTGCCGTATCAATACGCGGGAATCAAAGTAATGATATCAACAACTAGAAAAATCTGCCGGCGGTCTCATCTACGGACGCATGCCCCACTGCGGCTTCAGCTGGTCCTGGAGGGCGGTTGTCGTAAAGACGGTGTCGCCCGGCAGGCGGCTGATGCGGCCAGCGCCGCTGCGGATGGCGGCTTGCTGGACGGCCGAGATGCCGCTACGGTTGCTGCGGATACTGCCGGCGTCGCTCATCGTGTCCGCGTCCTTAAACTTGCGAGGAGGCGCAAAGTCAAGGCCGGTGAAGGTTCCGGACTTGCGCAACAAGTGTCTGTGCATCGTTAGCGTGTCCTCCAAGGCAAGAGGGCCGTGGTGAAACTCACGGGCTGGGCATAGCTGGCATCTCTTCGAAGCTGCTCACCAACGGGGAGTGGACCGGAACCTTGGGGGCGTACGGTCGTCTCTCTCCAGACGGGCTCTGGGAACGACCACGTGCGCGGTCGGCAAAGGTCTCCGGGGGCGCGAAGTCGAGAGGGTTCAGGATGGAGAAGGAGTCGTCCTTGAGCTTCGACGGGTTGGGCAGCGTGGTGAGATCGGCAGGGGGGGGTCCCTTGGGCTTGGGCCGGCCACCGTTCGTCATGTTGGACACGGACGAGCCGGGGCGCGGGGTGTACTGGCTGGACATGTCAGAGCCCCGGCGAGAAGGGCCGAGCCCGCTGGACATGCCCGAGCCGACACGAGGGGGAGGTCGCCTTCCACCGGGGCCGGGGCTGGCCATGCGGCCGCCGCCACCACCCATGGATCCGTGCATGCCCCGGGGAGGGGGAGGGCCGCGGAAGCGGGAGCCGTTGGGCGGCGGTGTCATCGCACGACGGGTGACGGGCTGCGCGTAGGGCATGACGAACGAGTTGGTCTCGGGGTCAAAGTAGGCGTCGCCGCCGGGAGAGCCACCGGAGTAGCCCGGGTCGTAGTCTTCGTAGTACTGCGCGCCACCCTGAGGTCCTCGGTGAGGGCCGCGAGGCATGGGGGGCGGGGGTTCCTGGGCGGCATGGGGGTTGTCAGGATCGAAGTACTCCTTGTAGAAGGATCTGATCCTGTTGGCACGCTCTTCGGGATCCTCCGACTCCATCACGTCATCAGGGGGCAGAGGACGGAAGCCGACGGAGAGTCTCTTGCCGTCTTGGGCAGGGACGCCGAGCACGCGGGATTGGCGGTTGTCGTCGTCCACCGAGCGCCTGTGAGACCGACCTCTGTCTTCAAAGTCAAAGTCCTGGTAGTCCTGGTAGTCCTGGTCTTGATCGTGACGGTCATGAGCGTTCGTTTCCTCTGGAACAATGGCTGGGAGGGTGGAAGGGGCAGCCTCCTTTTGTGGCCGGGGACTCGAGGGCAAAGCTCCGCCGGCAGGGGGTGAGAGGCGGTGTGAGGTAGCAGGGAAGCTCAGGTCATCCAAGCCAAGGCCGACGGGGGCGTTAGTCTGGTCGGCAGGGGTATTTTCAGGCTCCCGAGCTTCTAGAATTGTTGGGTGACCGGGAGATGGACGGGAGTTGCCGGGAAGGCCCCTCTGAGCGACAGGTTCGGGTTCTGGGACATCGGGAATTTGGGGAAGCGAGCTTCCCGACGGCACGGTCTCGATCTGGGGGATGACGGGCTCGGCAACGAGCGGGCTCCGGATGGCCGGGGAGGTGGGAGGCAGGCTGGGCGATCCCGACCGGGAAGCGCCGAGAGGATCGGCAGTGGCAGGAGGCGGCCTTGGGAGCGAGGTCTGTCTCGGGGGCAGGGTGTTCTGCGTCATGGTGGTGCGGCCGGTCATGCTGGAGCCCCGCCGGCTGGTGGTCTTGGTGTAGATGGAGCCGGCATCGCTGCTGGCATACACGGGGCGGTAGGGGTCCGCCTCGTTGTGGAGGGTTCTCGCGAGCGAGTTCAGGGACTCGCGTGAGCTCTGGAGACCGGGCGGGAGGAGGTAGGGGCTGGACAGGTTCATATCCATGGACAGCTGGCGCTGCTTGTTGGTCTCGATGCCCATGCCCTTCTCGCGAAACATGAGGCTCTTGCGCTTCTTGCCGCCCTTGTCGATGGGGGCGTCGCCCAATCCGAAGTCCAGTCCCCGGTTAGGGTCGGTGGCATCCTCCTGTGCCTGTCTCCTCATGTTCCTGCGGTGGAAGTAGTACAAGAGAAAAAGCGCGCCCACAATGGGGATCCTATAACCGTCAGCCCACAATCGCGTCCAGCATCGTTTCGTAGACCTACGTGACTCCGAGGGTGATGGGCAGGGTCAGACTGGCGGGGTCGACCGGCTTCTCGCATAGGGTTGCCGAGCCGGTACACTGCTCATCTCTCGCGCCGATGATGCGGGAGGCGATTCGAATGGGCGAGGCTGGTGTGGGCGTCATGTTGATGGGGTTGACGTCCCGGATGGGAATCCGGGAGCCCATAACGTAGCCATTGGCGCTAAAAGATGCCGAGGCCATCGGGAATTCCTATCAACGGCGGGATACGTCTTGGCAAGGCTCTCGCGCAACAGTCGGTATTCTCTCCAGGGGGAAGGTCGACGGTTGGACTCGAGATGTTTCTCCTTCCTTCGCTGATTGATATTACGCTAAACCACCATAGCCACGCGGGAGCTCGTCTCTGAAGGCGACGACGGGTTTCGAGAGGGCGGTATCGTGGGAGAAAATTGGCGAATCGAATCGGGCGAGAAGCAAACCTGTCTGGGACGGCTGAACAGTATGCTGGAGAGGGGGGCAAAAAAAGAATGACGGGGGGCCGAGGATATTCAGTCGGCGGGGCTTGTTGGTATTGGGTTGCTGGTAAAGAACGACTTTGGAGTTTGACAGCGGATTAGCTTCCGTGGATCCCATTCACACAATCCAAGGCGGTGTGGTTGAGAAAGAAAGGAGTGACGAGCCTGCTGGCAGGCAATGAATGGTTGTTTGGATTGTGGAAAGTCGGGGGATGTCACTGGCCGATGGAAGATCAGAGTAACGACCGACGATGGGGTAGGAGGAGGGACGGGAGGGAAAGAAGAACGAGAGTAAGTCCCTTTTGGGGGTGACGGGAAGCAAAAGAGAGACGAGAGGTAGAGATGCAAGAGCGGGAGCGAGAAGAGACGAGACGGAGCACAAGACCAGCGCGGCCAGCGGCAGGCTGCAAGGTAGAACGAAGCGAAGCGAGACGAGCCAACGAGGGGACGGGGAGGAGGAGATTGAGCAACATCGGGCCAATGGGACGGTGCGGGCGACTCCTAGCCTTGACCTTGCACCCCTACCAGATAAACTACCTACATAGGTAATATAGCCATGCACGTATGTATGTATATGTGTAGGTATACGGAGTATAGGCAGGTATGTATTCCGTATGTATGGTATCCGTACCTAGGTAGTTTACCTAGGTAGGTAAGGTAAGGTTGGTGTTGTGCAACAAGGTGCCATCATATGGTGCCGATATTGGCAACATTGTGCTGCTCCTAGGCTCCTTGCTCCATCACACCCTGGACCGAAGACAGGAGAAGAAGAATAGATAGATAGAGAGGGAGGGGGGGGCCTTGACATGGGCCCTGGACCTGGCCCTGGACCTGGACCTGGACCTGGACCTGGGCCTGCCGCTTTGCCAGACGGTGTGATGCTGGTTCTGGTTCTCGCTCTGGCTCTGGCTGCCACCAGCTATGGCCATCGTGGGCCATCATCCCCACCGGGTCATCCTACCGCCAGACACGAAAGCTGCTGCAAAAACATTGGGCCAGAGCGGGTTCAATAGCAGAGAAGAAGAAGATTGGGGGGTGTGGGAGAGCCAGACCCAGATGAAGGAGAGGGAAAAGGGGGTGTAGGTGACCCTGGCTGGGGCCTGTCAAGTCTACACTAGGTAGGATGGCAGTGGGCGGACCGAGGATGGAGAGGGACCGTTGTATTGTGGAAACGGGCGAATAAAAAGCAATTTCCTCAAATGAGCCGGGGGCAGGCGCGACCTTTTTCCCCCTGGTCCATGCACTTACTCACTGCGCACAGCACGACTGATTCGACCTCTGCTCCTCTTTTGGCCCATCTTTACGGAATACAGGTATACATGGTATGGCTGTCCCTTCTTCTCCTGGCCTGTCATCCTAAGGGAGGGGAGGGGGAAAAGAAGAAGAAAAATGAAAAAGCCTCTCGCCGACCTTGTTCAGTCTCGTCGTTATTTCCAGTACCGCCCATCGGTCCCGGCTACCAACCAACGTGTTGCCCTCATCTTAACTAAGAATACAACCGCCGACATCATCGGTGGATTCGGTACTATCTCCCGATTCATTCATTCATCCATTCATTCATTCATTCATTCATTCATTCATTCATTCATTCATTCATTCTACCTATGTAGGGTACACTCTTTCCTCTCGTCGTGGCCGCCAGACAGGAACGCACGACCGCTGGCCGGCGTACGCCGCTTGTGCCACCCCAAGATCGTTGCACTAAAATCGATACAAGCGCATGGTCATACAAGGGCCCTCCCCGTCTAGCGCGAGGATTTACTGCAGGAACGCGCCCCTCTCTGACTGAGGGGGGAGTGGGGATGGTTCATCAGACTGCACCATTGGACGAACGCGACGGTCAACGATGCCAGTCAGCAGAGCCAAATCACACCGTGCAAGGCTTCATCGCTCCTGCTCGCTCGACATTTACGGATACTCCTCCTACCTATTTGCCCTGCGCTGATGCCATAAAACCTACCCCACTCGTCACTTCACACTGTGAGCATCCCTATCTTGCTTGGCCTTGGGAGGATGAGATAGGTACAAGACAAGCGCAGACACGCCCAGCGCTTCCTCACGCGCAAACCGCACCCAACCACACACCGTACCACATCTCACCCAGCGCTAATCTGCCCGTCAACCTACACTAGTGCCTTCAGTGGTTTCTAGATCCTCGCACGCTGTTTCTGGTCGAGGGGGCTGGTCTCAGACCCGCGCAAGCACCCGCTCATTGCAGCTTCGCATCGGTCGCTATGAATCCACAATGCTTGTTATTGTGCATTGAGCATCGGAGCACAAGCCAATCTACCCAGGAGCCTCCTTGGGCCATTTCTCCGACGGTCGAGGCCGGGCCCTCTCGCCTGCTGACCATGCCCAAACCCAACCGAGTCTCTACCGAGATTGAGGTCGGCCCTGGAGCCGGGTCGGCATCTTTTCCCTGGAACCTGCAACCTGGAATCTACTCGGAGGGGGGAGTGCCGTCGACGACATCTCTGTGCCCTGGAACGAGCTTGTCCCAAGCAGCCACTCGCGGATGCACAACTCGGATGTCCCCCTGATAACCCTCATCGAAGTGGCTGAGCTGCCGTCTCCACCACGCTCCCCGCCGCCGTATTCACGATGCACGACAGTTTATGCCTCGATTCCCTTACCGTGTCAGCCACCCATCACAGCTTGTTTATTTCAGCCAACATGTTTCTGAGACAAGGCGTCCACTCCGCTAGAGGTACCGTTACGCGGGCTTTACCACTCTCGAGATTCGGAGCCCTAAAAGACTGTGTGTGGGTGTGGGTGTGTGTGTGTGTGTGTGTGTGCATCGCGCCTCGTCAGTAATTTGCGCATGCTGCTTCCGAGGCCCTTTGATCACAAACCCTGCGCACGGCACCCATCTCTGCAGAAGCGGCATATACATGCAACGACAGTGAGCACAGCGAGTGAGGGACCACAACAACGACGATCACGACGACAACAACAACAACAACAACAACAACAACAATACCTACCACCAGCACGGCATCTCGAACCCTCATTTCGGCCCTGGGTAAGGGTGGGCAGACCCGGCAGCTCGTCTCCTCCTCCTCCTCCTCCGAGGATTGCTCACCTAAACAAGGTATACAGTTCCGTTCGAATCAGCACGAAGCAGGGAAACAAAAGGTTTCTTCTGCCTTCTACCTGGGACCTCCTGGCTTCATATCGTGCTCTGTCACCCCCTTTAATGGGGTATCCATGCAACGATGACGGAGCACCGGGTTAAGGGCCCGCTAGCCAGAGATACAGATGCGGCACTCATCCGAAATCTGGTATTCTTTCCCGCCGGGAACAACAGCGGGGGTTCCGAGTCGCATGTCATTGCGCTGCATTGCTGTGCGTTCAATCGGCTAGGTTTCTGCCATGGCCAGCTGGCGATTTGGTCTTTCTATCCGGTTTTTTCGCCCGGGAAAGATCCTATTCGGACTTGTCGCTGGCCATGACGTCGAGATAAGCAAGGGACACAAAGAGAGAGGGCGAGCCGTCAAGGAAGCCAATCTCTGGTTCCATCCACGTTCCCAAAGTCGCCGCCTCCTCTGCTCGAAAAGACAGAAGCATTCCTCCTGCCTGTACCAATACCTGCTCATTCCCGGAGAAACAAGCATATACATGTCTCGTCTCATAGGCCACGAGACAGCGAAACGTCACTTAGCCGAGAGCCAGGAACAAAGAGGCTACTCGATCCGCTGTCGTCCCTTGCTTCATACCAGGAAGCAAAAGACAGCTCGACGTTGGGCCAGATCAAACACTCAATCCCATTGCTTTTTGTTTTCCTTGGCCGGCCAGTCCAAAGCACCAACCCGCTGCTGGCATCGCCCCTCGAACAATTCAAGCTAATCTCTATGCAGCCTCCAAAGCTTGTCATTGGCCAAGTCGCCTTGGCCAGCCCCAGTCCCGGCCCGCTGGCATTGTCACCAATCAGGTGTTGAAAATCCCACAAGATCTTGAGTATCCGTACTACTATGTCTTATGAAAACGAATACTTGTCATAAACCTGTGCTGTCTACATACCGCCGCCCCCTTACATAGTACATGTCCTCCCCCCACTGAGGAGAGCTGCCGCTAACAGGTCATTTTCGGACCCTTTGGCCTTCAACGCCACCATGCGGCGTGAAGGAAACCTCAGTCAATATCCGACGGTCGTCGGCTGCACTCGGTGTGCCTCCTTGAAGCAGACAACGTAGCTGCGGTTCGGCCGTGTCCTGTCATAAAATCACTTTATCCGCCGCGAGATGTGGCCGTGTGCCCTGCGGCGGCCACAGCCTCTCCAGGCGAGGCTCACAGCCTCCAAGGCCCGACCTTTTGCTGCCAAAACACGGGGAAACACTCGGTTCTTCGATACTCCATACCGGTACTGCCGAGCTTCATCCAATCCCCCCCCACACACGCAGGCTAATCTCCTCTCGCCTCATCTCGTCTCATCTCATGCCAGGCCGGACAAGGCCCCCTCATAGCCAGCACCCTCCTCCGACTTCTCCTATTATTGATCTCTCACATCGTTCCAACTTCAGCCTCGCGTGCTCTTGCCGAGCTGTCTACGAGCTGGTAAAACTCGGGAGCGTACTCGACCAGCCAGTTCTTTTCAATTTTGGTGATGTCCCGTATAAAGATTTTTGTGCCCGTCTCCATGACCTCGTGAAAGATGACCCAGTCGGCCTTGCGGTTGAACATGAGCGAGCTCGGGTGCGCGTGGAGCGTCGTCTCGCCCGAGACATTGCGGAACGTGCCGTCCGGCTGCATCTGGGCCGCGTGGGCGAAGTAGCCGCTCGTGAGGCATCTCCGGATCTGCTCCGCCTTTGTCGCGTTGTCCTGCCGCCGCTGGTCCGCCGGACCCGGGCCCGGGCCGAGCGACTCGTCGACGGCGACGCCGAACCGTTCGAGGTACCTCTTCAGCTGTGCGCGTATGCTGACGGCGCGTGTCATGGTCTTGAAGTTGAGATTGTGCTCCCGGCAAAACTTGGACTCCTTCCGACCCTTGGTGACGAAGGCGTGGTAGACGTTGAGGAGCGTCAGGTGGTCGCCCTCCTCGGCGGCGAACTTGCGCCGCGACGTCTCCATCTGCTTCCGCTCGCCGTCGTGGTGGAACCAGACGTTGTTCCCGCCGGCGCTCGTCATGGCCGCGATGGTGAGCACCTCGCTCAGGCACCCGAACGACGGCGCGCTCAGCAGCGTCTTGCTCATCATCGGCTCGACTGCCAGCTCCGCCATGCGGTAGCCCAGCGGCCTCGTCAGCTTCGCGTACTCATCGAGGGCACCCAGCGAGTAGAGCAGCTCCAGGGCCTTGGCCATGAGCTCCGACGGCGGAGGGCTGAGGAAGTTGAAGCGCAGCACATTGTCGATGCCTAGCGCCTTGAGCTGCAGGATAAAGGGCGCCAGGTTGGAGCGCTGGATCTCGGGCACGTTGACCTCGGGCAGCTCGAGGTACGCGTCCTCGGTGTAGAGCCGGAAGCACTTGCCCGGCCGCGTCCGTCCCGCCCGCCCAGCGCGCTGGGATGCCGACGCCTTGGAGATGGCGGTCGAGGTGAGTGATTCGATGCCTGTCCGCGGGTTGTAGGCCCGCAGCTTGGCGAAGCCGCAGTCGACGACGTAGACGATGCCGTCGATTGTGATGGAGGCCTCGGCAATGTTGGTCGCGAAGACGACCTTCCTCGTGCCCTCGGGGGGCTTGTCGAAGACGTACATCTGCTGCTCCGTCGACAGGCCCGCGTAGAGGGGCAGAGCCTGCAGTGTGTTCTGGCCCTGCGGCTGTTTGGTGTCCAGGAGGCGATCGGCGACGGCCTGGATGGCGTAGTCAATCTCCTCGCGGCCGGTGAGAAAGACGAGGATGTCGCCCTCTGCTTCCTGCGCGTGGATGTCGAAGACGGTCGAGATGGCTTTTTCGACATAGTCCTCTGTGGGCGACTTTAGATACAGCGTGTCGACGGGGAACGTCCTCCCTTCCAAGCTGATGATTGCGCCCTTTTCATTGTCTGTGCCGGTCTTGTTGCCATCCCCGTCGTCCGGCACTGCCGCCGGTTTTTTCTCCTCGTCCCCAGGGTTCGTTGTGAAGAAGCGCAAAAACTCCTCGGCCTGCAGCGTCGCGCTGCTGATGATGATGCGCAGGTCGGGTCGCTTCTTCTGGATCTTCTTGAGCAGGCCCAGGAGGATGTCAGTGCTGATGGAACGCTCGTGAGCCTCGTCGACCATGATGACGGAGTAGCGTGTCAGCAGGGGGTCGACGAGGGCCTCTCTGATGAGCAGACCGTCGGTCATGAACTTGATGCGCGTCTGGGCCGAAGTGAGGTCCTCGAAGCGGATGGCGTAGCCGACCTCCTTGCCGATCTCGCAACCGACCTCCTCGGCGACGCGGAGGGCGACGGTCGTGGCCGCCACGCGGCGCGGCTGCGTGACGCCGATGATCTTGCCGTCGGAGCACCACCCCGCCGCCTCGAGGAACTGCGGGATCTGCGTCGTCTTGCCGGAGCCCGTGTGGCCCACGACGATGGTGACCTGTTTGGTCTCGATGAGGTACAGCAGGGCCTCACGATGCTTTGCGATGGGAAGGAGAGCTGCGGGCTTGTGCAGCGCCGGAATAAAGGCGGAATTAAGATCGAAGTCGGCCATGGCTGCTGTCTTTGGCTACTGGAGAGCGTTGAGTGTCAGTTAAATATATGTAAATGTTTCAACGGCGAATCTACCTCGGTTCACAAACAGGACCCGATGTTTTGATCAAAGACTACGTGGTACCTTTTCGAACCTCCTCAGCCAGGAATGTCATGCATTATATCTCAACATCACCCGCCACTCGTGATATAGATGGATATTTGGCCTCCAAATTGGCCTCACTGGTGGCTTCATCGGCCTCACTTGTTCCTGACGTCCTTAAGTTGCAAACTGGGACCACTTGCCGACAGCTGCCAGCAGCCTGCGACAGCTGCAACTCCCCAGACACCACTCGCCCCACTCTTTCTCTGCCTATGCAGGGACCTCGTCGTCTGCCATCTGACGCCGCCTGTGGCGACTGGGGTTGTGGCTTAGGAAGGTTAAGCTCGGCTGGTGCTCCCCCAAAGGAGGTGCGGCGTCATCAGCTTCGCAGCCCACTTTAGGTACCATCATCTCGCCAGCTCTCTAACCCCTCCGTCCGGGCGCGCGTGTACCATCGTCCTTGCACAAAACAATCTCGCGAAGCCGGCAAATTACCTATCCTTGAGGGAAAAGGGACCAGAAACTCCTCTTCCATTTCCTGGTGACTTCGTTTTCCAATACGCCTTCCCAACAGATTGACCGCCAAGGCGATAAATCAAAGACGGTAGTAGCCATGTCTGCCCCAAACGAAACAGTACGCATGTTCCCGTCCCGAAACACCCAGACTTTATGCCATTTCCCCCTAACTGACACTTCGCCTCTTTCGTGACTTTCCAGAGCAAGACCAGCGCGCCCGAGTCTCCCACCACAGTCCGCCCCCTGGATCTATCTGACGACGAAGACGTGCAAGAAACAGGTGTGCTTGGCGCCGAGGCTCCCAACCAGAACACCACTACCAACACGACCAACACGACCAACACGACCAACACGACCAACACGACCACCTCGTCCACCATGGCGTCCTCGACAACCGCGGCCGAGGCGCCCCCACCGAAGCCCCCTCGACCCTCCACCGAGACGCAGAAGACCGAGGACATCCTGAAGGAGGCGTTCCCCAGCATCGACATTTCCGTCATCAAGGCGGTCCTGAGAGCCAGCGGCGGCAAGATCGACCCGGCCTTCAACGCCCTCTTGGGTACGTCGCGTGACCATAGCGGTGCAAGCTCTATACTGACGTAGGTATGCTAGAAATGACCGACCCCGATGCGGCCCAGAACGAGACGGCCGACGAGCAGCCCCCTCCGCAGCCCCCGCGCCCCCAGGGCGGCGGTCCCCAGCTGTCCCAGCTCGAGGCAGACGAGCTGTACGCGCGCCAGCTGGCGGAGCATTTCGATAATTTTGGCAGCTACGAGGCCAGGACCTCCAACAGGAGCCCCGGCGGCCGCGTGCAGCGCCAGCAGACCGGCCTCGAGCCCCGACCAAACGCCGAGAGCCGCGAGTCTAACTTCTTCGAGGATGAATTGCCGGTGATCCAGGAGAAGCTCAGGAAGGGGTTCATCGAGACGCAGGGCAAGGTCAACAGCTGGATCACGACGATGAAGAAAAGATTCGACGAAGAGTTTGGCGAGGAGGACGAGACTGGCCAACGACCCGGCCAGGCCCAGGGCCAGTACGGCGCTCGACGGCCCGGGGAGTCGAGCCGACGGAGCGGGGACTACGAGAGATACGACGCGGACCCCCAGGTTCTGAGCGATGATTTTGCGGGTATGAAGTTCGCCGCTGACGGAAGTACGTCCGTCCCTCGGGCGAGCCCTCTTTTCACCAGTGCGAACCACGTGCTAACAACAAAACCAGCCCCCCTCCGCGACAACAGCAGACCCTTGTCCAATCCGGACCTCTACAAGCCCCCTCCGCCCTCAAAGTCGCCCAAGCCCCATGACGGCCGCAAGGTCGCCTTCCGGGAAGGCACCGAGGAGATTGACGTGTACGGCTCGTCGCCCCGGCGCTCCGCCGAAGACTTGTCCGGATCCAAGGCCAAGTCTAGCAAGTGGCAACCCCTATCGACCGTCGACCCGAACCCCATCAGCGACAACGACCCCTTTAGCCTGGGCGACAGCGAGGACGAGAGGGAGGCCAAGGAGAAGGCGGCCTCCAGCAAGGATGCCAAGGACGTCACCTCGGAGGACAGCGAGAGGTTGAAGAAAGCCGCCGCCGAGGCCATGGCTGATAGCCTAGTCGAGTCCAAGGGCGGCGAGCCGGCGGATGCCGCTGCCAAGAAGAACTGAGCGATGGATGTTGTCGTGACCGGGAGGAAACTATGGCTTTGTGTTGCAACGATACTTTCATTTCAGATATCCAACGCCCCTTCCCTTCCCCCCTCCCCCTTGGCGCGAGCCTGGCAAGACGGTGTCTCGGGAGGGCATGGGGAGGTCTGGGATTTCGTGATTCCCCTATTCATTTGACAGGAAGCGTAGTCAAGACATCCAGATGGATTATTTTTCTTCCTTGCCTCTAGCTGGTACTGTGACGCTGGTTGATGTTTCGGATGACGCGAGGCGGTGGCACAGTGAAGAAGCCGTGATGGCGGGTGTAGATGACTGCGGCGTCAGGAAGCGTCTTGATATCAGCAGATACGGTTTGCCAAGGCTCCGGCTCCGAGTCGTGCGTGATACCGACAAGGCGCGCGGATGTCATTTGGGCCTCAGCCTTTTGAGTAGGGGTAGTTGGACGGAGATCTTTTTCTCTTCTTTTCTTCTGCTCACTTCTCCTGGCTGATTCCGCGTTGGCGCTGGACATTGAAGCTGGGCCAGCCATTTCTGCAAGTTCAGTCATGAAGTCTTGCAAGGTGGGTGTTGAACGTCTCAAGGTTGCTTATTTGGGGGGTGGGTTGATGGGATTTCAGTCAAAGTAAGGTAGCTGGCTAACGTATGGTCATTCCTGCCCGAGACGGTTTACGTAGTCGGCCAGAGTCGCTGAATAGTGGCTAATCTTTCCCTCCCATACATATCTGCCCAATGGGACGGCATCTCTGTGAGCTCGGTGGCATGTTATGCCGTTCGGTGCTTCGCCGAGCCCAGCAACGTTCCAAAGTATAATCAAGTCAGTGAACGGATGCAAGATCTTCGTGTTTCCGGGAGAGAGAATTGCAATAGAGACGACAAGCGAAGGGTGGAAAGGCGGGTCTTCTTCAACCTGTCCCCGCGTAGCTTGCAGACTAGATAGATATCTGGATCCCGAGAAAAAGAGCGGCGCAAGTCATAGACTAATGATGCCGGAAGATGTTGGGTCTTGCGTGGGATGCGCGCGTCTTTTGAATCTCCACTTTTTGGCTGCTCAGTTCAGCCTCGTACTTGGCATGCCACGAAGGGGGGGGGGAAAAACGTGGTTCGTTTGCGAACCGTTATTGGCCAGCCATCTGAAGACTTGGGTTGGGAGGTGGTAGCGTCTGAGACCCTAGTAAGAGGGGTTCCACGGGTATTCCTTGAGGCTAAAGTACATGCGCCCTGTTGCTGCTGCGAGAGGTACATGTGGTCGGTCGAAATACCACGGGCGGCCATGGGCAACGTGCATGCAGAGATACCCTGCCAGGTGACGCCTGCATTCGTGAAAACAAAGCTGGTCTCGAGACGATGCGTTTGCCTGAAGAAGATATTTGGGTACGCAAGATGCCGGGTAGGAAAGGGGGGGGGCCGCGGAGAAAGGTCGTGCAAAGGACGCGCACGTGGTCAACCTCTCTGGTGTTATAGACGCACCTGTGTGTGTAGTGTTCGATGTACCTAGTGTATGTGTAGATGCGGCGGAACACAGATGAGGACGTTGACTGACGTTTCCATTGGGAAACTTTCCAGCTTGTTGGCGCAAGGGTGACAGCCTGACAGGAAAAAAAGGTACCCCGCACCTGCGCAGCTTCACCCACGACAGACGGCAGGTAGATCCACTGGCCGTCATGGGACCCTCCCATTGGACAGACTGATGCAGTGGTTGGCCCCCCAGGTTGCTGCCGTTCGTTTGCATTTCACAACCTCTATTCAGTGTTTGTTTGACTGCCCGCAGGCCCGTCCAGATCTGATCTCTCTGTCACACACTCGGACTTGGGTCTCGGTTCATCCCACACACTCACTCTGCTTCTGCCTCAGACCTGGGGCCGTTGTCATTGTTCTTCTCCCTTTGCCGCAAATCATCGACCACAATACAAGGTTAGCAGAAAACCTTCTTCATCCTTGCCCGACCTCGGTCTGTCTGGTCTTGGCGTACCTTGTTCAACGTCAATCTGCATCTCCCATATACACATCCATCTCGCTCCCTCACTCTCTGCACACAACGACACGCACCCCAACTCGATTCATTGGCATCAACCCCCCCAATACATAGCAAGCCGGCTATCCGGGTCCAGCATGTTAAAAGCGACGTCAATCTTCGCTTGAACCTGCCTGCTTTTCTCTACGGTAAGCATGACCGTTCCTCTAGTACCTCTCGTGACCTACTCCGATTCGTTCCAGCCTTCTGGTGGTTGCTGGTGTATTGCATGCTTTGCGTTGCCTTGCGCTTCCCGTCTTTCTCCCTCTTGGATCCCGAGCTCGCCCTTCTCATGCACAACACCTGTCATTTCCATCAACATCCTTCGCTTGTCTCCTCTCCCGGTCAAGGGAGGGAGGAAACAGAACCAACACTCCGGACAATGCCGGGCCAGGTTGCCAACCTTGTATTGTTCTTTGACTTGTCTGAACCTCCTCCCCGGCCTGGCCCGTGGCTGGGTCGGGTTCGGACCAGATGATGCCCTGCTTCCTCGGAGTCAGTTCCATATACACCAACTGGCCGACGCTACTCAAAATCAACTGGCGCGCTTACATGGTATAATGCCATCCACTGCGAGCAAGTATGCCCGTCCATTCATCGTCCCCCCTACCCCCACGTAGCCGCTTCTCTCGATTCCTCTTGACTACGTGCTGCACCCGCTCATGCCCATGCCACGAGAGCAGGATGGGCTACGAACCCCCTCTCCATTGCCAGACCCTGGTCGGCACCGAGGCACATCCGGGATAGCTTCACCCTACCCCCCACCTATAACCCATTCTGCCCGCTGTATACTGGTCTCTCTATGGATACCGCTCCAGGGGGGTTCATTGTTTGCCCATGTCTGGTCCGAGTCCAGAGCGCCAAGTACTTGATGGCTATGCCGGCCAAGCGGCCGGCTTGCTGCAAGGTGGGCATATCCCGTGGCTTGTCCGTATTTCTGTCTCTTCTCGGGACTCCCGTTTGCCGACTCGATCAACAGCTTCGACCCTTTCCTCGAGTTGGTCCCTGTACTCGCGTTTCACCCTCGCTGATTCTGTCTTCACTGCAGGTCTCGTGTTTCGGACCATTTCTAAGAAAGGTTCACCGGACGCCTCGACTCCTCAAGGACTGACCACTGCCTAAGCAGCTCACACAACGCAGCCCCCCCCACCCAACGTGCGACTCTCTTCATCATTACGCAGTCATCTCGAGGCTTCGTTGCTGCCAGTCGACGTCACTCAGTCCATCCTTGTGCGAGTTGCCCACTTTGCTCGCCTGCCGCCGCCACCGCATACGCAACTCAGCAAACCCTCTGCGCCGTCATTCAGCTCTCACTTCCGTCTGCAGACTCCCTCTCACCAGGACAACTCGCCGGCACCAAAACTCGGGTATCGCTGCCTCTAGCGAGTGTTCTGTAACACTTGCACGCCGTGATTCCACGGGCGTCCGCCCGCCATGTCAGTCTTCTGGGCCACCACAGTGGCCCCTTATGAGTGCAAACGTGCGCTAATGGTTCAACAGGAAGTTCGGCAAACAGATCCAGAAGCGCCAGCTCGAGGTCCCCGAGTATGCCGCGAGTTTCGTCAACTACAAGGCTCTGAAGAAGGTATGTTGACTGCCCAGTTCGTGTCTCTCGGTCCCATGCCCTCCACCCTTCCCTGTCCTCTCGCTTCTCTTCCGCATTGGGCACAAGCTCGGCTTCGGAAACGACAAAAAAGAAAACGACTCTCCAAGAGTTTAGCCACCTCAGTACCCGACGCCGTCCCATCAGGGGGCAAGGGGGGTGGAGGAGGCCCCCATGACAGGAACCACACATGGGCGGCGTTGACCACTGACACCCGCCTGCTAGCTGATAAAGAAACTGTCGGCCACTCCCACGCTGAGCGCACAAATTGACCCCCTGCGATCCGCAATATCTATAGATTCCCAGGCTGCTCTCCAGGCCAACAAGGCCACATTCTTCTTCCAACTTGTAAGCATCCCACCATGGGTCAGGGCGATGAACTTCCCACCATACTTACTGACTCTCGAACAGGAAAGGGAGCTCGAAAAAGTCAACGCCTTTTACCTGCAAAAGGAGGCCGAGGTATGTATTCGTCCGTTGTGGCTACGCATCGGCTCGCCCCGTAACTAAGCATGGTCCCCATCTACAGCTCAAGGTCCGTTTGAAGACTCTTCTTGACAAGAAGAAGGTCCTGCAGTCTCGCAATGGCGTTTCGAGACGGTCAGCCAAGTTCACGACCCTCGAGGAGGGCTTCCAACAGTTCGCGGGCGACCTGAACAAGCTGCAGCAGTTTGTTGAGATCAACGGGACCGCCTTTTCCAAAATCCTCAAAAAGTGGGACAAGACATCAAAGTCGAAAACCAAGGAACTCTACCTCTCAAGAGCCGTCGAGGTCCAGCCCTTCTTCAATGCCACTGTCATCAGCGAGCTCTCCGACCAGGCGACAACCAGCCTCCAAGAACTAGGGGCCTGGGCCGAGGGAGATAATGTCAGCTTCGAGCCCCGAAGCGACCACATCGTGAGCAGCCAGCATCTGCTCGGGACCGACGAGGGCGACGCGGATACCCTTCTGCTCGACACCGTCATCTCAGGGAACCTCGAGGCACTGAGGGATTTGCTAGTTCGGATGCGGACCGCCGCTAGTTCGTCCTCGAGTTCCGACATTTCGCTGATGGAGAGGATGACCCGAACGTTTCTCGCAGCGATTCACGAAGCGCCCAAGGAGACCTTGCAGGTTCTCCTCGACACCGGGCTCGTGGACATCCAGTCGGAGGACGACATCAACGAGCGGAACTGCCTGCACCAGGCCGCCATCTACGGAAACATGTTCGTGCTCGAGTATGGCCTGGCAAAGGGCGTGGCCGTCGACCGCACCGACGTGTACGGCAGAGTCCCCTTACATTACGTCAGCATGCATGGTCGCCTGGATATGCTCGATGCCCTCACCACCGGTAAGATGGTGATGCCAACCGTATTCTCGGACGGATTTGCTAATCGTGCGGTTAGCAAACCCTCAAACGGTAGATCTGATCGACCACGACAACTTCACACCACTGGTGCACTCCATCATCCACGGCCATCTGCAGTGTGTCGAGCGTCTGCTGGCCAAGCCCGCTCGCATCGACCCTGTGTCCGACGCGGACCACGTGCCGCTGAATCTTGCATGCGAGCACGGGTCGCTGGCAATCGTGGAGATGCTACTACAGCATGGAGCACATATCGTTCCCGATGCCGAGGGCCTCTACCCACAACATCTCGTTGCCCGCTCGGTACATATGCCCGAGCTCCTGCTATTGCTCAAGAGCTTCGGCGCAGATCTAGACCAGGTCGACAAGCTGTATGGCTGGACGCCTCTGGTCCACGCGGCAAGCGAGGGCAACGTCCCCTGCCTTCAAACCCTGCTGGACGTCGGAGCAGACCCGAATATTGTTGACGAAAAAGACCTCCCGGCAATGTACTACGCGGCGTGGGAAGGCCACCTGCAGTGCATGCAGCTGCTGGCTCCTTTCAACACGCGGGCCAGAGCAAGCCCCATGATCATGCAGCCAGGCCTGGGGCCGATGATGGCCAGCGCCGGACCCGACCCGATGGCCCTCGACCCGGACGCCATCCCGGAACTTGAGTTGCCGCCGCCCATAATACCGCTGCGTCGTTATGGGCACAACTTCCTTGACACCAAGACCGTCATCCAGATCAGCTTCGAGGAGGACGGAGACCAGCCCCTGGTGTTCTTCCACGATGGAAAGTACCCGGCCGCCCGTCTCACCATCTCATCCAAGGTGTCTGATCTCATCCCGAAGAACATCATGTTACCTTTCCAAGAAGACACCCGCATTGTTTCCTTTCAAATCGACAATTTGGAATCCTTCACCCTGGATTTCGATGTCTTCCCCACCTACGGCGCAAAGATCATCGCCAAGACGGTGGCCCTGCCCAACACGTTCAAGGCGCTTCTCAGCAGCTCCGGCAAGTGCTGCCTCCCTCTTTTCGACCCGAGGTTGCGTGCCATCGGCCAGATTAGCTTCCACACCCAGGTCATTAAGCCGTTCAACGGCAAGCCACTCGAGATCACGGACTTTGAGACGTATTGGAAGGCCACCAGCCAGTTCGACCGGAGCCCCAGTACGTTTGTGACGGGTTCCAGTCTGTCTGGCGACTTTGTCCGCCTCTTTGTGCAGCACACCAGCGATGGCGTGCCCGTGCTGTGGCCGAGGTGGACGATACCGTGCGGAGGCATCGACCTGCCCGTCTCGAGGTTGACAATGGAGCAGTTCAACACCATCACGTCAAAGAGTCCCAGCCGCACGGAGCTGTCTTCATTACGCTCAAGACCTTTGGACGAAATTGCCGACGTCCATCGGGTTTTGGCCACAGCAGGTATCCCCCTCAACGAGGCGCTGGCCCTACTGCCGCACGGCATGCATGTTAACATCCAGATCCTCTACCCGTCGCTGGAGGAGGAGCGGGCCATTGGTCTCGGCCCGTCGTTGGACCTCAACACCTTTGTCGACTCCCTTCTCACCATCGTCTTCGACCACGCCCGCGCCCAGAGAGCCCAGTCTCTCGAGTCGGTCCGCTCTGTGGTCTTCAGCTCGTACAACCCGAGCATGTGCACGGCGCTCAACTGGAAACAGCCCAACTTCCCCGTTTTCCTCTGCAACGACCTCGGCCGGGAGGATGTCATGGCGCCGCCGGACGTGATCCAGAGCCACGGTCGCCGGTCTGCTTCGATCAAGGAGGCGGTCAGGATCGCGCAGGGCAACAACTTCATGGGCCTCATCTGCTGCTCGCGTCTACTCGTAAGTCCCCCCCGCCCAATGCGCCCATCCGTGTTTACTAATCATGACAGGACATGGTTCCCGCTTTGGTGGACGCGATCAAGTCACACGGCCTCGCGCTCGTCACAGACAAGTCGCTGGAGCCTTCAACGACACATTCTCTGACAGACCCATTCCCGCGGCTGCCCAAGGGGGTGGACGGCGTCCTCAGAAGCCATGGTGTTTTGCGGTTCAACGAATCTATAGACGTGTAGAGAGTAATAATTCCATACGGGCAATTGTAGATAAACTTGGGCACTCTCGTGAATTGCAAGTCGTGCCCCGAAATAACTAACCCACCCAATGTTTGCACAGCAATCAATCAATAATGTCGTCATTCTGGCATAAAGTCGTGAAAGCAACCCTTTTCCGTCCCCTTGATACACCGACCAAAAGAACCGGCTCGGTAAGCCTCACACGCCCTTCAAGTCGTACTTGAGCGCGGCCAACTCCTTCTCCGGATCCACACTGCCCATGACGACCTTGGCGATAAGGGTCACGACGTACACGATGGCCGGCAAGTTTCCCAGACCGACCTGGCCGAGCGCATGTCTCTCGCCCGACCTCGTCACGAAGCCCGTCAGCACGAGCACGGCGCAGAGCCCCAGGTTGAGGTAGGGTAGATACGTCTCCAGCGGTGACTTCTGGTCCTTGACAAGCGAGAAGGAGCTCCTCCTGCGCCTCGTCCGGCCTGGGGTACGAACTGGCTGATACGATGACGATGACGACGACGACGCGCCCGAGATGGACGAGGTCGAAGAGGCGAGAGAGGAGGAGGGGCTGCCGCGCGGCGTCTTGGGGTGGGACCAGGCGTCGAGGAGGGCGATGCCAGTGACGTCCGGGGGCTGTGTGTGCAGGAGGAAGGCGGTCGAGAGGAGAGACGTGATTGACAGCAGGGAAGTCAAAGGCGCGGAAAGGCGGAAGAGCGAGATAAGGTAGGGGATCGTCGTCAGAAGGGGGAGGGCGATGAGGAAGGTGTTGAACTGAGCGTTCCGGGCGGCGTTTTCGTCTGCGAGGCGCTGGATGAGGACTTCTTGTTCTGGCACAGGCGTCAGCAGCTAGAAAGGGACGCGTATACGGCAACAAACGGGTGGCTCTACCTTCTTCGTCCATGACATCGGCTTGGGAGTCTGCGGAGTCGTCGTCCGTGGGATAGTGGAATGTGCGCCGCAGGCGGGCCGCTGTGCCCCTGGGTGTTGCCATCTGGGCGCCGGGGTTCTTGACGTCGCGGTACGATATTCGAAATCGCCGGTGTTTGATTGAAGAAACCTATGTTTGCGAACAGCAGAACCTCTTGGGTCGCAGGTTGGGAGGAGCCAAGCAGGTCACATTTCGCACGTGGTTAGGGTAGGTCACTAGGTACCTATTGTTCGGTGGAAGCTCGAAGAGAGAGGAGCGTGGCAGCTCAGCCTTATGACGCGGGCATCAGCTGGCCATGCTGGACCGGGATCACTAGGCTAAACGATTGGCCAGAAGCTCAGCAAGGCCTTTTTATCCCCCTCTCCCCTACGGGCTGCCGGCGCTGTATACATAGTAGTTAGGTACGCCGCAAGGGCCCCCGGGATTTTTTATGCGAGGAGCTAGGCCCGCCCTCCGAGACCGACCGAACTTCATTATCTGATTCGGAGCATCCCGAGAATTTGCTGAGCCATTGCAATACCACGACTTACACCGCCGCCATACACACACACACACACACACACACGCGCGTGCATACGACCGAACTCCTACGACGAGCGCCCGAGACCGACTTCGATATACTGAGCATGCTTTCAAGAACCATCTCAAGGAGACTTACCTCCTCGCTACGGAGCGCTGCCGCACGGCAGACGCAGCAGCAGCAGCAGCTCAGAGCGCAGACGCAGCGGAGATGGGCGACCGCGGCGCCGAAGCCCGGGTCGGGGCCGCTGATGGAGCGGCGCGCTGACCGAGAACTCCCAGGTGCGATGCCTTTCGCCGTTCCCCAACACGTCTCCTGGTCCTTTGACTAACCGCGCTCGCGTTCAGACCTCAACCAAATCACCTTCCGCTGGTCCCGCACGCTTCCGCTCTTCGCCGCCGTCATCGCCGCCTGCAGCGTCGCAATCTTCAACTACCAAAAGTCGTCGTCCCCCGTCATCGCCTCGACGCTGTACGCGCTGCGGACCTCGCCCCGCGCGCGCGAGCTGCTGGGCGACGAGGTCCAGTTCAAGCACCAGATCCCCTGGATCTCGGGCGAGATGAACCAGCTGCACGGGCGCATCAACATCGCCTTCAGCGTCAAGGGCTCGCGCGGCGAGGCGCTGATGCGCTTCGCGAGCTATCGCACCTCGCACAAGGGCCTCTTTGAGACGACAGAGTGGAGCTTGGAGACGCCCGACGGGCGCAAGATCGACCTGCTCGACGGCTCGGATCCGTTCAACGGCATCGTGGCGGACGAAGTGGATGACGACGCAGACGAGCCGCCCGCGGCGCCTGCGACGAGGGGGTTCAGACAGGTGAGTCTCAAGTAAGGCGCCTGGCCCATCCCGCCGGCACGGAGGACATACATCACGTTGAGGGCGAGGTTCGCTGGACGGGTGGCCTCGAGGCACACAGCATACAAGGCACGCATGGTGGTCATTGGGTTTGTGATTTGGGCGAGATGACGGCCCTTAGCTACACGCCTCTCGTACGGGGGTGGTGGTGATGGTAAATGTACAACATGTATAGTACACAGACTTTCGTAAACAACGACGGGAACAACAAAAAAAGGGGAGGGGTGCCAGGGCACCATTTATACAAACTCCGCCGTTTCTCTCCTCTGCTTCTTCAGCTCCAAGTGCCTCTCTCTAGCCTCCTGCAGTCTCGCATCGGCGTCCTTGTTGCTCTCCAGGAGCTCCTTCAGCTTCTCCTGCCGGTAAGGCAGCGCCGGGGGCTTGCGCTTCTTGGCGTCCTGCAGCTGCACAATGCAGTTCTTGGGCCCGCCGACGGCGCCCTTGACGAGGACGACGCCCAGCTCGTTGTCCACCTTGAGCACCGTCAGGTTCTGCACCGTGACGCGCTCGTTGCCCATGCGCCCGGGCATCTTCTTGCCGGGGAGGACTCTGGATCCGGAACCCTGCGAGGGACCGGTGGTACCGATGGTACGATGGTTGAGCGAGTTACCGTGGGACGCCTCCTGACCCGCAAAGCCGTGACGCTTCATACCTCCGGCGAAGCCCATACCGCGGCTGTTGGACCGGACGTCGACGTACTGGCCCGTCTGGAACCAGTCCGGGAACAGCTGGGAGCCGACAGGCAGCAGTCCCTCCTCGGAGCGGACCTTGAACTCGGCGAGGTGGCGCTTGGGCGCGATGCCCTTGGCCTCGTAGTAACCCAGCAGCGGGCGCTCAACGTTGCGGGGCTCCTTGGATCCCGCACCGATCTGGACGGCCCAGTAGCCGTTCTTCGCCCGCGTCTTGTTGGCGACGACCTGGACCTGATCGAGCTGGAGGACGGTGCAGGGGACGCGCTTCTTGCCGTAGTAGACGGCCGTCATGCCCTTCTTGATGGCGAGCACGCCGGTCCTCAGGGGTGTCGTATTCTCGCGGCGTGCGAGGGCGGCGGCGGGACCGGTGGTGAGGGCAGGCAGGCCTGAGGTCGTCTGGTTGAAACGGCCGGGCTTGCTGCGCTTGGGGAGCGTGGACCAGCCGTATTTGACGCCGCGCTTCGCGGTGAAAGGGAGGAGGTGGAGGCGGGGACCGGAGAGGACGGAGGAGGCGTTGCTGGCAGCGCAGGCATTGGCTATCGTCGACGATCGGAGGAGCTGGAGGCAGCTCGGGGGCAGTCGGGGCGCCATGGTGAGAATGGCCGGGTTTGGGGGCGGCGTGGTGAGGTTGAGGGGACCGGTCGGCGTGCTGACTGCGTTCGTTCGGGATGGAATTTTTTGGGATGAGGTCGGACGAGCCGTGCCTGGGGTGGAAATCTCTCTGTGGCCCGTGCGCCTGCCGGGATTGATCTGGTCGCCGAGCTTCTCAGGAGCTCAAACCAGGGTCTTCTCATTTGAGTCTGAGCCGACTTGCTATCAAGATCTACAATTAATCGTTTTTCTGAAACAGGAGTTCCCTTCCTCCTCTCAACAAAACATAGGAATCAACCGACAAAATGCCCTCTGTACATCACGTTGAGAAGATTCACGCATACAGGCACCTATATCGCGAGCTCCTTCGAGCAGTCCAATTCGCGTCGCCATACAGGTACGTTGTCCGCGACCAGCTGCGGGCGGCGTTCCGGGAAAAGGAGGCCTCCTGGGACAAGGAGGAATACAAGCGGACTATGTGGTTCCTACAGGCGGCGGCGCGTGAGGCCGGGCTTGAGCACAAGATCCTCAAGAACCTGATCCGCGTGGCGCACGAGCGGCAAAGGCTGGCGCCGTGGAAAATCAGCTACCGCAAGGCTGAGGATATGAAGGGCAATACACTGTGAGCTATCGTTCCGTGCGAGAGGTTCGATGAAATGCTGATTGTGTTGGTTCCAGCTATGAGGAGGGCAAGCAGATCACGTCCACGGCGTTTAATCACTATGACATGACGGTGGCCATGTTGAACAAGACGATGGGTATCCGACTGAGGTGAAGTTGCGGTAGGCCTCGGCCTGGTCTGTGTAACCACAATCTGGACTTGGGGTTTCTGCTTTGTCTAGGTCTCTGTGCTAAAAGGCTACTACTGTGATGGCCAGGTTTGTAAGTTTTTGGTTCTTCGAGGCTGCTTCTCCCGAGACCCAAGCATAAAGTTCTCGCATCTGTGCCTGAGCTCAGCGACGTGGCGACGTCATGCATTTTGTTCCCCTTTTGCTCCGGCTCTGGGACCTCGGCGTCTCCTTCCGCACGCTGAGAAGGGGTCGTCGACCTAGTGTAGATACCACGCCTCAAGGTTTGTTATGGCGCCAGGGGTGGAGAGAGATGGCCAGATGGAGCGGAACACAATGGGCCCAGCCGCGACGGCCTAGCAGTGCCCGATTGTCTCTCACATCCGAGGATAACTCACTGGAGGGAATTGGCTTCTCTGGAGAAGATCGCTATGCTACGGCTAGCAGTCGAGCGATCTGCAGATACGTGGGGCCAGCAAGTGTAAAAACGGCTCATCTTTGGTCAGGCTGGCGGTCTGTGTCTGCGAGGTGTACGGTAGCGGCCTATCGAGAGCCCGTTGAATGTGTTTCTGAGACGCTGCTGGCGCCCGTTTGGACGCCGATTGTTGCTTTCCTGAGCTTTTGTCCGACTCTTCGTGCGGAACGGTCTCTCGAGGCACCGATGGAAGTCAGACTGTAGCACTCAACAGGGAGTGGCTGGAGAAAACGACGTTGTAACACATGGCGTGGGAGTCGTGCCCCAAAGGTTGGAAGGGCCAACGCACACTAGTTACTTGCGCAACTACGGAGTAGACGTACTCAGGCTGGTCCCGTTGGATTCTGTAGACAGGATTTAGGGAAGACTGAGGGCAGAGGAGAGTCTAGGCGAACCCCCGTGTCCGTTTCGGAGCCAAGGGTCTCGACCAGCAGAACCACATCGGGCCCCTTGGCCGGTGTGGACAAAAATAGTGGTTCGGAATGGATCTCATCCCTCACATTCCCAAAATACGCATTTCGGAAACCAACCGTGCTTCCACCTCCGTGAAACTGACCCCCCGTTGTCGTAAGGTCATCGGCTGAGACTCCGTTTGATAAGTGCATGATGCATCTAATCGGGCGAGGGAGAAACACAGATATCGAGATGGCGGAAATCCACTTGGGATGCGTCTATGGCTTGTGACGGTGGATTGCCAGCAGGTGCGACGGCCCAGTGAGGGGTTTCCGGGCGGTTTGGTGTTAGCGGCCGCTACCGCAGGGACGAATGACAGGCGCAGAATCGCTGGAGATCCCAACCGGGCCCGTTCCCGTCTCACTGAATGGACTCTCTGAAGTTGCTTTACGGAGTATATTGTACGGATATGTACATAATCAGTCCATGGCCGCTGCTAGAGTCGTGCTACTACCTACTGATCATCGAGTGGAGCCCAAGGGGGCCTCCCAGCTGCAGCTTTCCGCACCATCATCCAAAGAACTGGCCCTGCGGTCTGGACAGACGCTTGTTGTATGTACCTCCTGGTATAACCCTTAAAGTGCCGGTCCATCGTCCGGCAACGAGGGGGTGGTTAGGCCAAAGCCAGGGTTGGATGCTGTAATCGAATCGTAGCTGACCTGACCTTGAGCCGTTTCTGTGATGCGGATGTACCTAATAAGTAAGTACGGTAGGTGCCATTCCACAGCTGTAGATACCTGCCTAGGAGGTAGTGTAATTCCCACTGCCACTGCCGACCCCGCAATCCACTCACGGTAGAAGTAGTCCACGCCAACGCCTCCAACAATCCCCATCTTCTTTCCTTCAACTTAACCCGCAAATCTTGATGGTTAGCGGGCACAACAGCGTCAATTCCCCGGGGGTTCAGCTCTCGATTCCCCAGACTACTGTAAAACCGCTCTCTGTGCCTGCAATCTGACCACTCGACTCGTCATCACTATCGTCTCCTCGTCCGCCTCTCAAACCTCGCGAACCTCGGACAGTCCGTTTGTCGTCCAAAACAACCGCCACCTGTGGTGGTCTGGATGGACCTCCCCCCCAACTGGCAAAAGGCCGTATCGCGACCGCGCTGAAAGACCTTGATCTCCCTCTTGAGATCACCGTCTGAAGGCGCTGCCACATCGCCATTGCTAGAAGCATGCCAGCGACAGAAGCCGAATATCACCCAAGACACCATGTTCTGGCCCGCCAAACTACTGCGATCATGCCTCGAGCTCAGGAAGAGCGCCCGCAGAGGCTGGTCAAGCGGTACCGCACCGAGATCGCCGCAAGCACATCGAGCATGTTTTCCACCGTCGTCGCCTTCCCCCTCGATAGCGTAAAGACGCGAATGCAGACCTACCGATACGATGGCTTCCTCGACTGCGTGAGGCACACGTACCGCACTGAGAAGCTGAGAGGCTTCTTTCGGGGTAAGGAGCAGCTCTCTGGCATCCACGACCCCTCACCACACCCAAAGTGTTGACTGCATCGCTAACCTTCTTTTTGCCCCTCTGTAGGCGTGCTCGCCCCGATGGCCAGCATCACCCTTGTGCGAACAATGTCCTTTTCGATCTACCAGCGCGCCAAGTACAGCTATTCCGGCTGGATAAAAAACGCCCTGGGTTTCGACGTGCTGCAGCACGTCAACGAGAAGGGCACGTATCCCAACCTTTACTCGATTGCCTGCTTTGGAGCCGCCGGCGCCACGGCCGGCTCGTGCATCACGCTTCTCGCCTGCCCGTTTGAGTTGACAAAGCTCAGCGCGCAGGTGTCTGTACTGCTCTCGGACCAGCAGAAGCTCAAGGAAGCCAACTGCCGCGCTACCAACGGCCACCAAGTCGCCGCCAGCTACCAGAACAAGGGCACTTTCAAAACCATGCGAAACATCATTCGCCACAGGGGTGCTTTGGGGCTCTACACTGGCTTCAACTTGCACTTGTGTAAGTCTGCCCAGGCGTACAACCCCATCAAAACCCTTAGCTGACCGGTTTAGTGCGAGATACGCTGGGCACGGCCATATACTTCATGGTCTATGAAAGCGGGAAGCAGCTCGGCACCACTTTTGGCGGCGATCATCCAACCACGAACAAGCTGTCCGTTGTCATCTCTGGGGGTCTTTGCGGGATAGTATCCTGGGCAATGATCTGTAAGGATTCGCATCATGCCCCATCCATGGCACGCGCTCACTCTGGCAGACCCCATCGATTCGGCAAAGAGCATTTACCAACGAAACTCTCTCTTGTACTCCAAGGGGCAACAGGTCGAGCCTCCCCCAAAGATTGAATTCTTTAAACGACACATGTACCGCGGGCTCGGAGTATCCATGGGACGCTCTTGCGCCGTGAACGCCATCTTTTTCTCCGCTTTCGAATTCATGAAGAAGCATGTCAGTTCACTGGATGATAACTAAGGAATTGTGTAAGTAACGAGATACTTGCCGAGTGCGCCTCGTCGGCACCTTCAAAGGCCGACCTAGGTTGGACGGCGTTTTTATTCATTTTTTGGACTAGGTGGTGATGGACACCACCAAGCAGTTTAGTGGCAGCACAGAACGAGAACACGTACAGACCTTAGTTGTTTGAGATCGACTACAATCAATCAATCAATCAATCGCAATCCGAAAACCGTCATTATCTAGCTTGTAGGATACCCCCACAGGCCGTGCATGCCGTCGATGACATGACAAGTAAGCCTCTGTGACGTATCGACGGACGAATTGGACGTCTAAGTGAGCATTCCCGTCTATAAGGTTTGCCATTAAAACAGATCCCAGTTACCCCAGCTCTTCTCGCATCTAAAGTGAAGCTCAGGCTGGCTGGGCGGTACTGGTCCCGGACTTGAGTCGCTACACAATTTTCGGCAAGGCAGGCCACGTGCAGACCACCCTGATGAGGCAGACCGGGGTGCCTTGCTCAGCCCAATGCTGTGCAGTGATAGGTAAGTCAGTCACAACGCCGCCCAATCCAACATAGCCACAAGGTTCCACTCAGCCACAAACTCAAGGTGAGAACGCCACTGATACCTATCTCAGTTTCGTGATCGACTTTACATATCATCGCCTTGGGCTGACAAGAGGCGATTTGAAACTTCCAGATAAGTCTGAGAACCTATCCCTATAAGAACAAAGCATTCCGAAGCAACTGAAAAAAGAACCAGGGTGTTGAAGCAGATCATAACACGAAGTCTAGGGTTTGGCAAAGATTCAACTCCAGTCTACCTCACTCCGGACACCTCTTTGGACCAATACCATTCAAAAGTGACTGGCTGGACAAGATTTTCAAGTTTGCGTAGCACCATTTCCACCCCAAACCTTCTTTCCGAAAGCAATTGTACCGCCAGGTACATTTCGTCTTCTCCGACAGTCTCTGGTCCCACTTTACCTCTTATATCAAATTCACTGCGAGCAGCAGCTTCCTTCCTCCTCTCCTTCTTCCCTTCACGATGCCGCACTTCGAAGACCTAGCCCCTGCATACTCCCCACCGTCCATCCTCGGCGACCGCAAAAGCCCCGAAATGTGCAAGTCGTTCTTCGGTTCGTTCAAGGATAAGCTATCCCGCAAGTCGACTCCATCTTCGCAGGAGCCCCAAAACATCGCGCAGTCCAGCATGATGCGTCGCAACAATCCCTTCGCCCACCCTCCGGCGACTCTTCAAGCCAACTGTAAGTCTTCGCCAAACACAATAATAACTCATCCAACTCTGACCAGTAACTTACTGTCGTCTAGCCCCTGACCAGCCTCCCCCCGCCTATACCGCGACAGTTGCCCCTCAATCTGGCGCCAACTATCTGGCGGCTCTGGGTGGCCCCGTCAGAAGCTCGTCCCCTGCCCTGTCCAACGCTGACTCCATCATATCCGCTGGTGGCATGAGCGTCTCGACGCCGGAGGACCCCTATGCCTTTCTATCCTCCTTTGACACCATCTTTCTTATCGACGATTCGGGTTCAATGGCCGGCCGCTCGTGGCCCGAGGTTCAAAATGTTCTCCGCGCTGTCACCCCTATCTGCACATCACATGATGATGACGGTATTGACTTGTACTTCCTTAACAACAAGACGTCGGACAGCGGCAACGCGAGAGCAGGCAAGGCTGCTGGTGGCTACTACGGCATCTGCCGTGCCGAGACGGTCCAAGAAATATTCACCACTGTCCGTCCCCGCGGCGCTACACCCACCGGCCAGCGTCTTCGTGCCATCCTACGACCATACTTGCAGCTCCTCGAGAGAAATGTTGATGCCGAGGACGTCAAGCCTATTAATATCATCGTCATCACCGACGGTGCTCCATCAGACGATGTTGAGTCTACCATTATCTCCGCAGCTAAAAAGCTCGACAAACTCGACGCCCCTATGCACCAAGTTGGTGTGCAGTTCTTCCAGGTTGGCAATGAGCCTGGTGCCCGCGAGGCGCTTCGTGAGCTCGACGACGATCTCGTCAATAGGGTTGACGGTGACCTTCGCGACATGGTTGACACTGTCACCTGGGAGCATGGTAACCGGGGCGTGCTCACGGCGGACAGCATTCTAAAGGTCGTCCTCGGAGCTGTGGTCAGACGTCTTGACCGTCGTCGTACAAGTGGCGAGAGTCGTCGCTAAATGGGGCTAGCTGCAGCTCTCCCTCTTTTTTTTTTCCTTCTCTCTTCTCGTGTTAGATGGCGTTAGTGCGGATATGATCGGATTTGTGGTTTCTTAACAAGGTGGTACAAGTCACTACCTGATACCCATGGGAGGAATTCTGATGTTGTCTTCCGGCATAGACAGAGAGAGGTGCATGGCTCGCGCCATTGGAAGGACCTCACGGCCCGATGTACCTTCCGAACCAGAGCTTTTCAAGTGCAGTAAACAGGCACTAGGCATAGAGAAAATGATAATATTTCAAATGAAACGTGTCAGTATGGGTGAGAATGGAGCCTGAGACTAAACTGTGGTCTTTTGTGTTGAGGCACTGGACGAGTCCGTTATTGAGGAAAGATAGTGGCAAGTGGAAGAACGCATGGGGGTCTGGAAAATACCAGAAGTCACTTTACACATTTGGCAGCTCACAGACGCCAGTTGGTACCCACTTCACTCTGATTTCTGAACATCAATAAATCCCCAACTCGGATTTCCAAGGCCTGAAAACAACGCTCAATCTTACTCATAGAAACCACCAAAATACGAGACATCACTACCCAAATGAGACCACGGCTTGGGGGCATCCCACGTCTGTATGCGCCTTCCCGACTACTGTCCCGCCAATCATTTGGACCATCACCCGCCCTGGCCGCCGTCCGCGCCACGACGACGACAACAAGACTGAGCACATCATCGGCATCCCAGTCGAAGACAATGGGGAAGATGGCGACAGAAGAAGCATCATGGTCCACAAATGGTTTGGCGGCAACGGCGGGGAGTGCTGCAGGAGGAAGGCAAGGCGGCCAGAACCGAGAGGTTGAGGACGGTAGCCACCGAGAACACCACCAAACACAAAGCACGTCACTGGCCCCTGAAAACACGACATCCCCCGCCCCCGCGGCGGACATCAGCAACACCGACTCTAGCCAGCAACAGCCGCAAGTGCAGGGCGCTGCCGAGCCTGCTCAGCAGAAGCAGCCCCTTGCCCTGCCGCCGCTTCCCGAGCCCCCGTCTGAGGGCAACTCGGCGGGGGGCAACGGCATCGTCACCCTCGACATGAGCGGCGGCGAAGGCGCCTCGACCAAGCTCGACCACTTGGGGCCCCTGGTGGTTAATCAGGACGGCACCATGTCACGGATCAGCAACTGGGGCGAGATGACAGAGATTGAGCGTCGCAACACGCTGAGGATCCTCGGGAAGAGGAACCAGATCCGTCTCGCGGGCCTCAGGGGGGAGGGCAATGGCACCGAGGACGGAGCTGACCGAGGTTGAGAACTTGACAAAGGAATTTGAAAAGAATCGCGCGACCCGAGACTCATCCGGGACGAGGTGAAGTCGAAAAAATTTCTTTCGACATGCGAGAAAGTGGACGCCTCAGAGGATTGTCAAGGCTGGGAGGGTGGTAGGACCGAGCAATACTCCTTTGTATTATTTATGGTAACGGAAACCGAGAGAAATGAAGCGTCTCCATTCTCTAAGCCTCCTTCGTCCCATCTGCGTACGATCCAACCCAAGCCCCCCGCCCCGTATGTTCCTTGTCCATCTTGCCCCATGTTGAACGGCCGTCCCGTTCCATGCCATGCCGTCCTTTGGGTCTTAGCCGGTCCAACACTTCGCGGAGAGAATGCGTCGTTATGGAATAGCGGGGTTGAGCCTTTTATTCCTTGCTTTCTTTCTTTCTCACCCGCCCTTCCCCTCGACTCCCTAGCCCCTTCGCTTCTGATGTTTCTTCTTGAAGTCGGTCCAACACGAAATGGCAACCCCGAGCCCAACAGCCAATGGTCCCGCAAATGTAACCCTCCTACATTAAACCGGACCGAGCCAGGTATCCACGGACTTTTGGCGCGCAGTTCTGGTCCTTTCCCGGCGAGGGACGGATAGAGATTGAATGATAGTCAACCTGACTGTCATGCCTTACCCGTCCAATATCCAACAGAATAAAGGGGCGGGGCGGGGGCTTACGCGTATTGGGTGGTTGAACTCTTATGTTGCGGGGACAGAATTGCGCCTTCGACTTGCGGGATGTTGAGATTTGAGTCCCTTTCAACGGCAGAGCCTCGGAGCTTCTGAGCCTCATCAGTCTCTTGTGATAAAAACGAAGTAGTTGTAATAGTCAATAGACGTAGGGTAAACAAACGCATCAAGATAACTCATTGCTGTGACATAGTCTTATCACGATCCCCAAATCATGAGTCCGTGCAGGTATGTGTTTAATGTCATCACATGTAGGTAAACAAAAACAGAGACGCTCAATAAACCCGCCCGTTCTTCCCCTCTCTCTAGTTCCCATCCGTAAACCCGCCCGCGCAGTAGTCTCATCCCTCTGTAGTATCAAACTCCGGATGGTGCCAAAAACCCCCAATGTCTTGACCATGAAACGCATTACATACAGACATCAGTCGTCGAGGGGCTGTGCCTCCTGTTGGTGATAGAGTCTCCTCCCATTTACTTTGACTCCTCCGCCTTGGCGGAACCCGAGGATGCCGTGGTCGACTTGGGTTGCTTGTTCTGGAACTCCCTCAGCAAGGCGGCGATGTCTTCGTTTCCCTCGTTCTTCTCCATGACGAGGTTCTTGAGCCAGCGGTTCTCGGTTTCGAGGAGGTTGATGCGCTGCTCAAGAGCGGAGACCTTGTCGGACATCTCCTTGGCGCTCTTCTCCAGGGCCTGCTCACGCTGCTTCTTCTTGATGCGGAACCTGGCGGAAGCAGCGGTGTTCCTTCTGCGCTTGTCTTCTTCAGCCGCGATACGGGACTGCTCCTCGAAGTTCTGGCCATTTCTGCTGACACCATTTAGAGATTCCGGGGTTCTGGCCTCGGAGGCCCTCGGTGTAGGGGCGCCATAGTGCTGGGAGACGGGGGGCGGTGCGTAGGTAGTTTGAGGATTAGGCTGGAGAGGTTGAAGGTTACCCAGGCCTTCAGCGAAGGACGGGACGCCCGAGGCAGGGTAGGGGTTGGTAAAATCGTGAAAGTTAAATTCGCCTGTCATTGTTCATGGTCAGAATGGATGGTTCAATGCAGGAGTTTATCAGTTCCTGGCATCGTGGCGTCGGCGAGACGGCAGGATGAAGGGGAAGACGGGCGGATAGCGCTTGTTCAGAGGAACAATCGCATCGACGAGCCTAAATGATAGAATACCAACGCCGTTGACCATAGCACTTGCTTGATCGGTATCGGATGGCGGCTGCCGACATGGTCGTTACCCCTGCTAGGGTCGATGACGATAAGTCACGGGGTATTGCACCATCCCCCGTCCGGGCAATTTGTAAGCCCAATCCTGGAGTCGCGCCTCTCCCTCAACAACGCAGGCCGGCAACCTGCATAAAAAGCAGCAGCCGAGCCTCCCCAATCAAGAGGTCTGAATGAAACATGGGCCGCGCATGAACAGGGTGGGGTAAAGAACGACGGATTTGAAGGCCGGCTGGCTGGCGATAAGGCGGTCGGTCGCATGTGCTTGGCTGCGACCCCGAAGGAGAGTTGAGTTGGTCGCCGGGAACTGGGGTTAAAGTTCAGAGAAGCCGCTTGACTCATTTGAATTGTGAATTACCACAAGTTTCCCATTAGTCCGATGGCAATCGGGCGGCGACGGCTGGCTGAAGAGTCTTGTGAAGCGACATCCAAAGACTGAGGTAGACGAGCTGTTGTGGAGTGCATTTAAACAGCAAAGCAAGCGACAAATATATAGCTTGTTTGAGGAAGACAGAAACTCGCAACAGTAATATCGGCTCCTCAGAAAGGCGCCGTAGAGCATGAACAAAAAACCAAAATTCTCGTCTCACCTGGCATGGAAAAGTCGACATTGAAATCGCCAATGGGAGATGTGAGTTCTTCCGTGGCGGCGCTGGAGGGAGCCTGGGGCTCAGCGATCTCGGGCTTCTTGGCCGGTGCCTGGTAATCGGTGTGCTGGCCAGAATCGTAGTCGAAAAACTGAGTGTTAGTGAAGATGGCGAGGTCCTCCTCGAAGGTGAAATTCTCTTCGGCAGCGGCGGGCTCCTTAACGGTGTTAAGGTCGCGCAGGTAGCGAGACACGTTGGGCGCACGCCCACCGCCAGTGCTGGTGTAAGGCGACATTATCGCGAGGCCGAGGCCGGTGAAGGCTCTGGTATATTGCGAGATCGGGTTCTTCCGGTCAGGGTGACAAGAAGGCAGAGGAGCGAAGAGGCTTCGTCCAAGTCGACGCCAGAGCGAGGTAGTCGAGTTGTTTTGTGGTTGTAGAATGCTGTCAAGGATGGCGACGATAGCGTTTGGAGGGAGTGGGCTACTTGTGGTCGTACTGGAGCCCCAAGCAATTAAAAATAGTGCGTGCGATTCGAGGACCGAGATCGATTCCAAACCTCTTGTCACTAAGGTCAACGAAGATGGAGGGGTAAATCCGGCGTCGGGTCGGATAGATGTCAAATGACAACTTGGCGAGGGCGCGAGATACTGAACGTGCCGGTCAGATGATTGCGTCGACGACTGCTTGGTTCGTGAGGGCGAGGCTCGTCTCAGTTGCGGGTTGGACTGCTGAGTAGTTCAGGGTGAAGTGGATGAGATGGGGGAAGAGAAGTCAAATTGAGCGAGAATGAAGCCTTTGTTCGGAGGCGCCAAGTGGATAACATTAGTCAACTTCTTTACCCAACAGCGCGACTTTTTCTGGCCCCTCCCCCTCAGGAGGGCCCCGAACATGCTCCGCGGTGACGGCTGACTGCAGTCATTGGCTGGTGGTCTGTTCATTTCACTGTAGGTCACCCCACACAGCTGCGTGCCGCTGTAGTAAGAGTTGGTGTGGCCGGACATGCTACACAGTACACACCCACGCACAAAAGCCTGGGCTGGGAGCGCGGTGACCTGATGAGCCCCCCACATGGGGACGTGCTCTATCGGGACTATGACCAATCACATGTGGAAAGTTCATCCCTCGGAGACAGGCGGCCTAGGTCTCTGTAGGTACTCTCCGAATACCCTTTTCGCTCGCATTTCATTCCGTATGCCTTTGCCGACAGACACCGGGACCGCGAATGATGGAGCAGGAACCCAACCCCGGCTCCAAGCCCCTCTCTCTCTTCACCAATCCGTCATCACTGGTCCATGCCGCACCCATGAATCATCGCTTCGCCGATGTACTGGTGCCCCACGGTAATTGCGCATTGCATCTCTGGACTAACCTGCTCGTTTTGGGGTTTGCGTCTTTCGTATCTTTGGCGGATAAACATGATCCAGGGCGTCATGCTTTGTTACCTATCCACGCGAAAAGTATGGTTTCAGATGCACAACGTCGAACATTTGTTCTTCCATCTTACGACTCACATTCTTAAATTCCCAGGTTCAAGGCACACCTTTTTTGTTGACAGAATCCAGTGCGAGGTAGGGTTTGGTGTGTGGGTTCGAGGAAATTACGAATCGGCTTCATCTACCTAACAAGCCAAAGTAGGACAACATTTCTAATTTACCTACATCTCGATCAAGGTGGCACCCAGTACCGACGGTAAACTCAATACCCACGTTCCCGTCAAACAATGGCTGGACTGACACAACCAGCCACGTCCTCGTCGTCAACGATGAAATCCCGGGACCACTATGACTCGAATGGGTCTAGTCTGGGGCTTGTCGCGGGTTTCTGGTGTAACCCTTGCTCTGGCGCGTGCATGTGCATCGTCTTGTAAAAGGACCCTTAAGTCTGGATTTCTAAGCAATGCTGCAGCCCCTTCCGACCCTCGGAAGCACCACCGGCCTCACTCGGGCAAATAGACCCGATGGTGCTTGTAGCCGCTGCAATCTGCAACTCACCAGTGCCATTCCTATTCGGGGAGTTGGTTTACCGCGCAGCCAGGCCGCAGCGCCTTGCAAACTCTAACTCCATAGTTCCTAGCTTCTAAACACTCCACTGTCAGCTTTTGGGTTGTTATTGTTATGGGCCGCTGCCATCGCCTGGCATGTCCACCTGGCCCCGGCTGGAAGACAGTGGCTTACTTAGGCCTCGGATTCTATCGGCTTTCTGCCTTTCCCTGCTCACTCAATCCTACCTGGCGGCCCCACGGCAAAAGGCCCGTGCGCAATTACTGACAGTTGCGACGCGTCTTCGTTGTTCTGTAACTACGACGTAGAGCGCGCCTCCGCTTAATTACTTCAGCCTCGACGATCGAGATAACTGACACCCACACTATCACAGTAATCTTTCTTTTGGCATCCGAGATTTCGCAGGTGGTATATTTCGGTTCAACCAAGGCATTAACTTGCCAATACTACCGCATCCGATATCAGTTAGCCTGCTGGCATGTTGTGACCGCCATGGCGCGTTTCTCCATCCCGACCAAAGGACGCCTGTCGTCAGATGTGCGACTTCCGCCGTCTAATCTGGCGGTCCAGAAAATCTTAAGCCGCCTATCTCGCCCTTCTTTGTTATTTTTGGCTCTTGAGTGGTTGAATGACGACAATGCCCAGCTGTGCGCACCACTTCTGGGTGAAGAGGACGACGGTGACGGATTTTACCCCCCGGCCTCGTCGATAGAGGAATTGCGGGCTGTCTATGCGGACCTACAGCACAGAAAGGGGTCCAAGAGAGAGGTTCTTGATCGCATCACCGAAGGGGACTGGCAGCATGGTCTGACCCTGTACCAAATGGCCCTGGCGGACGCTCAGTATCTCCAAGATCATCCCACATCACAGAAATGGACCGCCTATCGCATCGCACCGCTCAAAGAAACCTCGTATTTGGATGACGAGGAACAACCTCACGAAGTCGACAAGGAGTCCCTGATCCTCCCTCGGTTTCATCCGTCTTCCTTCATCCAAAGCCTCCAGGCCCATGTCTTACCCGACGTTAAAGCCCATTACCACTTTCACCGGCCTCAAGGGCTTGCTCTCTCAATACTGCGCATCTTTCTCGTCGAGTCCCCTTATAGCACGAGCATGACACATCTAAGCAGCGGCCTCCCACCAACGGACTCTAACTTTGACAGCTCACGGACGCTCTATGTTGCCTTCCCCGACGCATCACCCTTCGTCTATCTATCAAAATCACAAGCCGTGGGCTCACTAGGAGCGAACGAGTCCAAGAGTTTCCGCAGCTTGGTTGTAGAGGGCATACCAAAGGCTCTTTCCCGGCCGCGGGAAAGGTATACTCTCAAACCCACCAATATATCAACCAAGAATCTAGATGCGCTGTTGCATGTTAGAGGCGTTGGGCGGACAAATGCGGCCGGTGGAGGGTGGGGCATCTACGCCGATAAGAAGAAGAACGAGTCACCGCTTGATTCCATTCTACCAACTCCGCCACTATCAGAGGAATCGTCAGACGATGCCGTGGAGTCTGCCACAAAGCCAAACTCGAAACGGAAAGCGGATGGCCCCGACGACGCCAAGAAGTTTGCTAAAAGAGCTCGGCTGTGTGCACAGGCGAGGTTCGGAGACACGGCCAAAATCGACGACGGCTTGGGCATCGAGCGTGTTGATATCGTCATTGAAGATCCGTTTCCTAACAGCTCTCAGAGTGTTCCAATGGGCACCGAGCGAGGTCCTGGAGATGAGGCAGACGCCGGGACGAGTAAGCCAAAAGGTGGCCGGAGGAGCAACGCTGAGATTTCTTTCGAAGACGATTCGGACGCCGGGGAGAATCGGCCCCGTCCCGATGCCTCAATCTGGGTACCGAACGTGAAGCTAACGTTTCATGGGCCCCATGTGTTTGCTGGCATACGGCAGTTGGTAGAGAACGGTATCATCGCCGGAGAGCGGATGCCGGGGTGGCTGACGGGCGAAGAGGGCGTGACTGTGGGGGCCGTCAGACATGGCAGGATCCGGGGGCACAAGGGCTCCGGTTTATAAGAGCAGGATCTGGTTGTTATAGAGGGATCGCCCCGTATGATGCGGCTCTGACCTTGAGCGCTTGTATTTCTTCAAAAATGAGCTTGATACCCCCCAACAAAATTCTTCACCCATCTATGTGTCTAGCGATCGACAGCGAAAACCTTGACAGTGCTTCTCCAAGCTGCCTCGCAGATGTCCTCGACTTCCACTCCTTTGATGCCCGCCACAGCCTTGGCGACACGCTCAATCATGCAGGGCTCGTTCCGGCCCTTGATCATGGCGCCCTCCTCCCACTTCTCCTTCTTGACGACCTTGAAGCGTTCGGGAACTTCGGGCTCCTTCTTATGGCTCCGCTTCTTACCCTGAGGAGGCCCCTGAGCAGGTTCCTGTATTGCAGCCCCGTCCATGGTACCGTTGGCCTCGGGCTTCTTCTCGATGAGATACTTGAAACCGAAATGGCTCGGCCGGATCTCGCACCATGGGCCGTCGGTCTCGATCATCATCCTGTCAAGCGGGATCTGCCTGACGACTTCACAGTTCTCCTGGGTCTTGAAGCTACAACCGTTGATGCCAATGTACAAGCCGAGGTCCATCAGCTCTCTGGCCTCCTCGATGGTGCCAGTGAAACTATGGACCACGCCGCCCTTCTCGAGGTTTTCGAGTCTTTCGCCGAACTTCTCCTTGAGCAGGCGTACGAAGTCATCATGGGCGGCCCTCGAGTGAAGGAAGAGGGGCAGCTGGGGCTTCGTCTCGAGGACGAGATCGAGCTGTGCGGCGAAAGAGTGGAGCTGAATGGTCTTGGAACAGTAGTGCAGACGGTCATAGTCGAGGCCGAACTCGCCAAAGGCGACGAGGCCGGATTTGGAGGCAGTTGAGTCCTTGATAAGGTCACGGAGCTCGCTGATAATGGCCTCCGTCTTGGTGGGGTCTGGTTCATGGGTGTCCGGGATAGGTTTGGATGGGTCCGGGTCAGTGTGCATGCCCTCGGCGGCTTCGCCGGAGCTGCTGAATACCGCACTGCTACACGGGTGAATCCCAATCGTCGTGTATACGACGCCGGCTGTGGAACGAGGTCAGAAGTGACCGGGGCAACCTTTGACCACGCGTGACTCACGATACTGCTTGGCAATTTCCAGAGCGTCTCTAGAGCTAGTAAAGTCGGAGCCCGTAACGATCAGCTTGGAGCACCCAACTTCCTTTGCTCTTGAGATGACGCCTTCAAGGTCATCGGGATGACGTTGCTTGCCGTGATGCAGACCTCGGAAAATGGGATCGGCCAAATTGATGCCGATCTACTGGGTGCTGGAGGTCATTACTCTGGAGTACAGGTTGTCAGGGCAGTGGTGAGTACACACATCAATATACCGAGGCTGGTAGGCCGACTGGGGTGACTCTGCGGGAGTTGCCATTGTGACTATAAACGATGATGACTGGAGAAAGGCCCTTCTGGGCAGAAACTGGATGAGAGTGGGTGGCCGTGCTCTGGTGAAACCGAGAGATGAGACCCTCATGGATTTATGATGGTAACGATTCAATATTCATCAGACGGTTCTAAGAAAGAAGAGAAAGGGCTGGTAGATATAGCTATAGCGTCGTTTGGCCTCATCGTCAAACAGAGGCCATCTAATTGATTTTGGCCTCCGTCACGTGATACCGTGATGCAGCGAGCGTCTGCAAGGGCAGGCTCGAGCAGGGTGGACGCGTAAAGTGGCTACAGACAACCCCATTAAAGTATATCGCGTCACTTAGGTGGGGTAGGCTACCAAAACGCGTGCACTCAAGCACATTAAAAATCCAATTAAAGATACTAGATGCGTTGCAAGCAAGACATTCACATGGAGTGAAATCATGTCTCGTTGCAACTGGCAACCAACCCGCGCCTGAATCAGAATGGACATCCACAGTGGGGTTTGGACTTTTGTCAGAATTGATTTCCAAGCTAGTCGCGACATTAGTCAAGTGGTCGCAGCTGCAAGAGCCTGGCTGCCACTATGAAAAGATGAGGTACCTTGCGTTGCAAAAAGCTTCAAGCGTGTTCCATTGATTGTTGGCTCGGGGATGCGAACGTGAACCGAGGGGGCACGGATGGAGATGCCTGACAGTCAAGGCCTAAAGCCACTTCTTCCTAACCAATCTGTTATTGATGCCTTGAACCTACCCCCCGGCCCCTGTCCAGTCGCGCTAAAAGTCATTTGGCGTCGACGCGTTTCTACGCGAACCCGGCCTGCCATAAGTATCTGCAGCACCTTCTGGGAACCTGCTGCTCCTCTCTCCCCCCCTCCTGCACAACTCAAACACCAGCTACTCTTGACGACTTCTTCTTCTTCTTCTTCTTCCTGCACCAGATACCATCGTGATTCTTGGTGCTTCTGATACCCCTCTTGCACAGTTATCCTTTACGCCTTCGCACTTCCGAGTGGTCTACGTCTCCTGCGAGACGACAGAACAACCCCATCTCCCATATTCTCACAGCCCTACTCAGGCACAATGTTTGTGAGAAAGCGCGGTACGTTCAGTTCAGACTTGTGACTCAAAAGACCCCGGGGGCTAATTCAGTGCAGATGGACGCCAGGAGCGTGTCCAGTTCGATAAGATCACTGCCAGAGTTTCGAGGCTATGCTATGGCCTCGACATGGACCATGTCGACCCCGTTGCCATCACTCAGAAGGTCATCTCCGGTGTCTATGGTGGTGTCACCACTGTGCAGCTTGACGATTTGGTAAGGACCACCCCTCGCGTCTCACAAATCAAATACTAACAATATCGTACACAGGCCGCTGAGACTGCTGCCTACATGACCGTCACCCACCCCGACTACGCCATCCTCGCTGCTCGTATCGCAGTCTCCAACCTCCACAAGCAGACCAAGAAGCAATGGTCTTCTGTTGTTAGCGACCTCTACCACTACGTCAATCCCAAGAACAACAAGCCGTCGCCCATGATTGCAAAGGACACATATGACGCCGTCATGAGACATAAGGAGGAGCTTGACTCTGCCATCGTCTACGACCGCGACTTCAACTATCAATACTTCGGCTTCAAGACCTTGGAGAGATCGTACCTCCTGAAGCTTGACGGCAAGATTGCCGAGAGACCTCAGCACATGATCATGCGTGTCGCTGTGGGCATCTGGGGCGATGACGTTGAACGCGTCATCGAAACCTACAACCTGATGTCGAGCAAGTTCTTTACTCACGCCTCTCCTACACTCTTCAACGCCGGCACCCCTCAGGCTCAGCTGTCCTCTTGCTTCCTTGTCGATATGAAGGAGGACTCTATCGAGGGTATCTACGACACCCTCAAGACCTGCGCTATGATCTCCAAAATGGCCGGTGGCATTGGTCTCAATGTCCACCGCATCCGCGCTACCGGCTCTTACATTGCTGGCACCAACGGTACCTCTAACGGTGTCGTTCCCATGCTCCGTGTCTTCAATAACACTGCTCGCTACGTCGACCAAGGTGGCAACAAGCGCCCCGGTGCTTTTGCTATTTACCTCGAGCCTTGGCACGCTGACGTCTTCGACTTCTTGGATCTTCGCAAGAACCATGGCAAGGAGGAGGTCCGCGCCCGCGACCTTTTCCTCGCTCTTTGGATCCCCGATCTCTTCATGAAGAGAGTGGAGAAGAACGGAGACTGGACTCTCATGTGCCCCAACGAGTGTCCTGGTCTTGCCGACTGCTACGGGGAGGAGTTCGAGGCCCTGTACGAGAAGTACGAGCAGATGGGCAAGGGTCGCAAGACCATCAAGGCCCAAAAGCTCTGGTATGCCATTCTCGAGGCTCAGACCGAGACCGGCAACCCCTTCATGCTCTACAAGGATGCTGCCAACCGCAAGAGCAACCAGAAGAACCTGGGTACTATCCGTAGCTCCAACCTCTGCACTGAGATCATCGAATACTGCGCGCCTGATGAGGTCGCTGTGTGTAACCTGGCCTCGCTCGCCCTGCCCACCTTCGTTGACTACAACGAGGGTGTCTACGACTTCCAGAAGCTCCACGAGGTCACCCAGGTCGTTGTTCGTAACCTCAACAGAATTATCGACGTCAACCACTACCCGGTCCAGGAGGCTCGCAACAGCAACATGCGCCACCGCCCCATTGGTCTCGGTGTTCAGGGTCTTGCCGATGCCTTCTTGGCTCTCCGCATGCCCTTTGAGTCCCCCGAAGCTCGTGACCTCAACAAGAAGATATTCGAGACAATCTACCACGCTGCCCTTACCATGTCGGTGCAGTTGGCCAGGGAGGAGGGTCCCTACGAGACGTACGAGGGTTCCCCTGTTTCTCAGGGCATCCTCCAGTACGACATGTGGAATGTTAAGCCCTCGGATCTCTGGGACTGGGATGCTCTGAAGGAGCAGATCAAGCAGCACGGTGTCCGCAACTCTCTGCTTGTCGCGCCCATGCCGACTGCCAGCACCTCTCAGATCTTGGGCAACAATGAGTGCTTCGAGCCCTACACCTCGAATATCTATCAGCGCCGTGTCCTTGCTGGCGAGTTTCAGGTAGTCAACCCTTGGCTCTTGAAGGACCTCGTCGATATGGGCCTGTGGTCCGATGCTATGAAGAACCGTATTATTGCCGAGAACGGTTCTATTCAGAACATCCCCAACATTCCTACCGAGGTCAAAGCACTGTACAAGACCGTTTGGGAAATCTCCCAGCGTACCGTCGTGCAGATGGCTGCCGACCGTGGTGCCTTCATCGACCAGTCGCAGTCGCTTAACATCCACATGAAGGACCCAACTATGGGCAAGATCACCAGCATGCACTTCGCTGGTTGGAAGCTCGGTCTGAAGACGGGCATGTACTACCTGCGCACGCAGGCTGCTGCCGCGCCCATCCAGTTCACCGTCGACCAAGAGGCATTGAAGGTTGCCGACAGCGCCGTCGGCAAGGTCCTCAAGAAGCGCGCGCCGCCCCCTGGTCATGTCGCTGCTCCCGTCGTGAACGTCCCTCGGCCTATGTATGCCAAGAAGGAATCTTCTGCACAAGACAATGGCATTCCCACACCCAGCGTCACCCCTCCCCCGCGGTCTGCTCCCGCGCAGAAGCCTGATACCATGAGGGCTGATGTGGCTGAGGGTGACAGCCCTCGTGCCCTGCCTACTGACCCTGTGGAGGCGCTCAAGATCGAGGAGCTCGGCATTGCCGAGAGCAAGACCCCTGATGTCGAGGACAAGACCGAAGACAGCAAGGAGCGTGAGATGGACATCTACTCCGAGGCTGTTCTTGCCTGTAAGTCATCAAACAAGCAGCCCGTCAATGAAGCATTTGCTAACGTAGTAAAAGGCAGCATTGAGAACCCCGAATCCTGCGTCATGTGCAGCGGTTAGAGAGAGCATGAGTAGTAGGCATGATGGATTTTGATGCTTGATGAAACGAGCTGATGGCACATGAGGAGGTTCGGGCATTTTACTACGGGATCACGTTGGTAATAGTTGATTTGGGGCCTAAGGGTGGCATTGGTCATGGACACCGTATCTGTAATTGTTTGACGCACAGCGGTCTGCAGAGGCACACTAGCCCATGGACTGGATTATCGTGCTGGGTACATCATGTATTAGCTGCGTATGGATATTCCAGCAGCACACTGTTCGGCGTTTGGGCAGGCAGGGTTTGGGTTGGTTGCTCGTCTCTGAGCAGTAAGTAGTAAAATCGTTTCGTTTTGTTTTTGATTAAAGGGCTTCTATCGGTGATTGTCAAAACCTCCAACGGTTCGGAAACACCTCCCTCCCCCTCCGAGGTCACCTTGCCCTGTCATGCCGACGACAGCAAACAAAACAGCCGGGGAGAGACGCGAAAGACAAGGATAACGTTTGGGTCTGGCCAACCCTATTGCGTGGCGACAACTTCCTTCCGTGTGCCCCTCATTCTTCTCCTTCAGCTAGCTAGCCCAGATAGACATTGCATATTACGAGCGGGAGCTTGCCGAATTACCGATCACAACAACATTACGGACAAGCTGGAACCCTCGACTGTACAAGAGTAGACAAAGACAGTGGAGATCGTCACGCTTGTCAGGCTTCGAGATCGGCTTTCGGACTTGGCCATACATAGACCGACCAGAACATGCATTGATGATGGCAATAGATGGCGGTGGACACATCACCACAGGGTGTCGCTCGCATTTCGGCATTAGGAACCGGCCCGAAAAGATCAAGAGACCCGCAGCTCGAGCATTCGCTTTCGTGGGGGAGTTGTCGTTTACTTTCCTGGTAGTAAGATTGTCGTGTTCCCGCTTTCAGTGTCGATGAGTATTATTTCTAACTCGCCCACAACAAACGGGTTCACCGTCTCCAACCGCGTCTTTCGTCGGTCCCATGTGTCGCCAAGCCGCGAAGCTCATCTCCGCTAGCAGTAAACCCGCACTAGGCCATTCTCTCTCTCTCTGTCGCAAATCTTTCTTCAGACCCTTCTCAAGAACATACTTGCGTGCAATCACCGACCCTCATCTTGTCGTAAGGTCTGGCTACTCTCGTGGACATCTCATATATTTGCGTGTAACACCTGGGCCGTTGCTTATTTGTTTCGCAATATTTTCGGCTGTTTGCTTCGTGCCACTTGGAAAGACAACACAACGGTCGCACTTTCTTAGATAGCACGGAGGAAGGTGGTGGGGGTGGGACAGGCGGCTGTCTGCTCCTTAATGCAACACAAAGGGGAGAGCATATCCAAAGAAGTACGAAGTGTGGACGGGAGGGGTCTGGAATATGGGGGAGGAACGTATCGATCCGCACATGGATTGTAAGTAGTTCGGGAGTCGGCAGGGATGACACACTTTTCTCGATACGCATCGCATATTTGCTACCAGCACATCAGAGTCCCCAATGGCAGGTTCTCTTTGTTTCGCTGACAAGGCCAGCAAGAGACCGTCGAAGAGTAGGATTCCAGCGGTCTCCGGAGCAAGCCGTGATCCATTGTTGGTTCTTAGGGGCCGCGGCTGTGGAGCCGGTGGCTGGTGTCGTTCAGATCATCAGGCGAGGTGCGATGTGGGTAATATGAATAAGCTACTGAAGAGTCTAATACGTCAGAGTCTCCCCTCAGAGCTAGGCAATACATAGCGCGATGGAGACGTGTTCAAGATGAGTGTGAAGGTCGAAGGCGTTAACATATCAGGATTCAATGATTGTTCCTTTAGTCTGATTGCGAAGTATGACCCAATATTGCTGCACATTCTCCGACTCTCAAGTGTGAGACACCACTGCCATCCAACGATGCTGGGTAAGAGCTAGCTATAGGTCTTCTCGTTCTAGAGGCCAACTGCCTGCGCTGGCTTAGCGTTGGGGGCGGAAGAGAAAGAAGAGAGAGAGAGAAAATGGTTGGGACTTTTTTTGATTGCGCGACAGATCCTTGTCAAGCTGAGGACGGGTGCCATACCGACAAGATCCTGCCAAGAGGCCTTGGCAGCAACCAGCCTCTGGAGTGGCCAAAGAGACAGCGCAACGTTGGGCACCCCCAGAGCGGACGGTACCTGACGGATGTGCCGACACAGAAAGCGCGATGCAGAGCTGGTGCCGGTGCTACCGAGACAGGTACGAAGTACCTACTGCCATGTACATATCTCCAGGCGCCGCGTTGCCAACGCTCTATCGACGAATAGCGCGGTATAGTTGTAGGCTTTTAGGCCTATTGTGTCTTCGAGCGAGAGCCTAGCTTGGAAATGATGTGCTTGTATGTCATGACAGCAACTTGAGTCGGTTTTTTGTTTCTTTACTGGGATCAAGGTCGACTCGCAGAAAAGCACCGGCTCGCGGTCATCGAGTGTGTGTTCCCATGGCAGACAGTAAAGAACAAGTGAGATATGAGATGAACTTGGTTGGAATGCGGGAATTGACTTTTTTCGATTCCCAAATGCCCCCCTGTCGTTCCCATTTCCTGTCCTTTCCTTTTTGGCAAACTCTGTCCAATCAAGAGCCCACCCGATGCAGCTCCAGGAATCATTAAGCGAATCAGACGAGGTCTCTTGTGTGGCATTGACCTCATTCACCCTTGGTGCTGGATGGCCGCGCAATGACGACCCACCCCTGCTAGCATCTCTTTCCTTGATTCTAACCATGACTTCCCCTCTATGGCCAAGCAGCATCCGGCCCGCAACGGTGCTTTCTTCCATTGTTACTTGCCATAACCTGCTGCTGTGCATCTTGTCAGCGTCACCATGGGCTGACCGCCGAATGCCAGCTGCCCCTTCCAAGTTGATGGCTGTTCTACGCGGTGAGGTTGCAAACGCATTCACCACAAGGCATTCAAATCAAGACGGTCGTGGTGAAAAAAGCTGCTACGTGTGTATCCTGAAGCCGAACGAATCCCAAACGCAAACGTCAAATCTTACCGCCTCTCGATGTGCCTCCTGCAGGAGAACGCATCTCCTTCCGGTTGCCTGGGAGCATGGAATCGTGCACGAGGAGTAACCGGATTTGCTTCCCGTCAAAACCCCCGCTCCCAGCCTTCCCAAGAAAACTATCTGATAACATTGCGATCAAAGTGGGTTAGAGCTCGGACCCAACAATAACATATGGCGCCGCATCTTGTTGTGACTTCTTGGAAGCTCGGATCGGGATTTTCAGCAGCTGTGTTTGATTAGGAGCCGGCTGGGGATTTCAGGAGACTCGGTCTTAGCCAGGATCACGTTCGAGCCCGAAAGCAGGTCACGGCTTCAACACTTCTTTGCGATCAGCCCGTGTTGACCCGCAACAGCAGGGCGTCGAGGCATTGCATTGAGACACCTTGACGGGAGCTAATCCCTCCGTGTAAATAGATAGCGTAATCTCTTGTTGTTGTTCAAGGTGAGGTATCAGCTGCCTGCCTTCCAAGGAAAAGCATAACCAGTTTTCACCTGGTCTGCCAGCCACCGCGCCGGTGACTCTCAGATCTCGGCAGCGGCTTTGAATCAAGATGCTGCCCGGCATCTGTGGCTGAAGTATGATTTCTTTAGCAGGGTTTTCTGCCAGACCTACGTGGAGCAATAAGCTTTGCATGGGGCCGAGAGTTGTGGACGTCAATCCGGCGCCATTCTACTGCAGCACTAGGCGAATGATACCATGTCAGATATCCACACCGGCAGACTGCTACCACCTTGGCTTCGGGTGGCCTCTCGTTTGCTGGCTAGCGCCATGTCAACGTCAGAGCAAGCGCAAGAGGCGAATCCAGCAGTGTGCAAGGGTAATATTTGGTGACGTTCATCGATGAGAGATGTCACTCGCGTACGGATACTGTACCACAACAAGGCTCAAGCCAGATCAACAGGGTACCTAGGTAGGTGGGTAGGTAGCTAGCTACAATCAGTCTCGGGGTGGGAAAGAGCAGCATCGGGTTCATAGGTCGCGCCTGCTTCCAGTGTGCAGCCCAACTGCGTCTCCATGATTTACACCCCAATTGATTTAAAACCGGGAAGGCACCTCCTACCTCCTTCTTATTTACCTGCTTCACCCTATTCATCTCCAGCCCAGGTACTCTAATCCACGTGACCTTTTGTACGGCGCGTTAGAATAATAACAGTAACACCTATCAACCGAGACGCCTCGACTCATCACCCTGCTTCACCCAGATCAACACTTTTCCCGTCAATACTACACTTCCGTTCTCAAAAACCTTCCAGAGCACACTTCTCGACAGTCTTCAGACGCAGCAAAACATACAATTCATCAACCTCAATCGTAGGTAAGTCGACACATAACTCATGTCTCTCCATCACAAACTCCTTGGGAAAGGTGGTTGATCACTTGCGGGCTCCCTTTGCATTCCCAACTCCCCTTTTCACAGCGCACCCGCCCGTTTAGCTTGATTTGGATTCTGCCTACTCAATCACCGGGTGAATAAGAAACAATCCAGCAGCACAGGAAAGTGCGCGCTCCTGTGCAATTTTAATCCTGTTCTCCTTCTCGTTCTTTCCCTCCCCGGTCACACTGCACCTTCCCTCATTCGAGGCTTCCCAAATTTGCGTTACACTTGTTACCCTTCACAACCAGCCTACCCTCCACCACCTTTTTCTTCTTCTATTTCCCACCAGCACAAAGGATTCTTCTTTTCCCACTTCCACTTCATCATCTCTCTCATTCTACAGCATCGCCAACCTTTGCGCTTTCTTCTCAAGAACAAACGCTCTTTTCCCCCAGGTATTCCTGCTTCTTTGTTCCCATTGCCCTTGCATTTGCGCTGGTTATTTCTTGGCCTCAACTCTCGGTCACAATATTTTGAGCTTCTCTGACCCTTTGTCTGCACAGGTTCACATTGTCGACATCAGTTGTCACACTTCACTCACTCCACTCAGACTTACAGTTCCACCCACCAGCAATCATTCACAATGAAGTCTGTCATCTACCTCGGTGTTGGCCTTCTGTCCGGTGCCATGGCTCAGAGCCTCGCTGGCTGTGCTGTAAGTATACTCACTTGTTTCTACTTTTGGCACGTCTCTCTCTTTGCCTCGATTGCAGCAGGATTTGGTCACAAAGAAAAAAATGTGCTCCGATTCTGGGCGGTTCTTGGAATCGAAATTTGCGTGTCTCAAAGCACCAAGGATTCTGACCTGTTTTCCTACACAGAGCACCTGCATCCAGAACATGCAAAGCCTTGCCGCCAATCTTGGTTGCGCTGCTGACGATACCGCCTGTCTCTGCCGCAACCCTGACTTCACCTATGGCGTCCGCGACTGCTCTTTCCAGTCCTGCCAGCAATCTGGTGACGCCCAGCAGGCTGTTGCCGCCGGCATTGAGCTTTGCCGCCGTAAGTGACACTTCCCATTTCCAAGCTTGGTTCTTTGGGACTAACAACAACCCAGAGGCTGGTGTTGCCGTTGAGGCCACCCCCGGTGTCACTGTCATTCAGCCCACTGGCTCTGTGACCGCCACAGCCGCCCCCGTTGTCTCTTCGATCTTCTCTGTCATCACCTCTGGTGGCAGCACCCTCACCACCCTTGTTGGTGAGACCACCATCACCCCCCCTGTCTCTAGCGGCAGTGAGGTTGCGACTCCCAGCCCGGTCACTACCTCGACCTTCACTACTGTCATCACCAGTGACGGATCTACCATCACTTCTGTTGGCGAGACCACCATCTTGGGTGTTGCTGGTGTCCCTGTCACTACCGCTCCGATTGTTAGCACCATCACCGATGGTGACACTGTTGTTACCTCCACCATTGGCATGACCACCATCCTGTCCACTCCCACTGGCTCCGACGCCTCCAGCGCCGTTTCCAGTCAGGCCAGCGATGCCTCGGAGGCTTCTACCGCTACTCTCACGGAGACCCAGACCGAGGGTGCCACTGCGACCGAGAGTGGCCAGGCCACCAGCGCCTCTGAGACCGGCAACGTAAGTCACCCAAGACCCCCAACGTATTCATCTATCAGTCGAAGCTGACAGTACTCCACCTAGGCTGCCAAACAGACTGCTGTCCCGGTTGCTGGCTTCTTGGCCGCTGCTGGCTTTGCAGCCATGCTCATCTAAGCTTTCTGCTTGGATGACTCAAACTTTCTTGCTTTTCTACGCGCATATTGCGGCAAATACCCGTCTGGACCCATAATCTTGGTTTCGACGTCCCGATTCATCCTCGCCTTTCTACCAATATGAACCCGACACGACACGGTTGTGATGGGCACATTTTAGAGAAATGGAGTGGGAAGATGAGATACTGAAACGTGGGTGGTCGGAATTTTTTTCGGGGGTCAAACAGACACTTTATGAGTTTTCTGGCGGTCTTTTTTCAGGCGGCAATGAACGATGGATTGATGATACGAACGGCTCTACATCAGGGACGTAATAACTTAGCGGGTGATGTCCACAGATGTTTTAACAGTCATCAAAGGCACATTGCAGGCATTTTGGCCATCAAATGGTGGTGAAGGTAGTTGGGGACGCCTCGTCCAAAAGTAGCAACACTTTTCTCTACTAGTTGATGAAGCAAGCGGCTGCTCATCGTATCCTCGTGGTGCCATTGTGATATGTTCCGTTCCAGTCACTTGTCCGTAATATGTTTTGTAACGTGGAAGGGCTGCACACAATCCAACTGCCCCGCAGCATCTCAAGGGTATCATTAAATATTTACACTATCTGTGTTCACGCACACACACACAAACCATCTCACGCCTGCTGCCCTTTGAGGAGCGCCAACTTGGCAGCGAGGCTTGCCTGGACGTCTTCATCACTCTCCGAGTCGGACCCGGAGCTGCTCGTCGTGCTGTCGTCATCCTCCTCCTCGCCCAGGCTTTCCTCGGCGATGATCTGCTCGACGGCGGCGGCGAACCTATCGACGTCCCCGTCGGGCACATCGCTCTCCTCCCCGTCGCTCGGCAGCTCGCCGTCTTCGAGGTGGCGGCGCGCCCTCTTGCCCCCCTTGGCGCCGCCCTTCTTGCCCGGCATCTGGGTCTCGGGCTTCCGCTTCTGCGGCACGAGCCGCACCGGTTTCGCTTCCTCCAGGAGGGAGCTGGGCAGCGCAGCGCCGGCCTCGACGACGTAGAGTGTGGGAAACTCGAGGACCGTCATGTCACGCAGCGCGTCGCCCAGGGGCGCCGCGGCGTCGACTGCGTGCACGACGGTCCGGCCCGCCGCAGACGTCGCCGCGGACGTCGTGCCCGCGAGGTAGAAGGCGTACCGGCCCTTCTGTGCCTCCTCCTCTTTTGTCGTGCCAGTGTAGGGGGCCACGCCGGTGTGGGGTGTCCACGCGCCGCGCGCGGCGGTCTGCATACAGAAGCGGCCCGGGTGCCAGGCGCCCGTCTCCGTGTCCTGGGCCGTGGCGAGGGACTGGCCCGGCTTATGCTGGTGTTTGCGGCGCTTCTTCGAGCGGCCCGTGTTGACGTGGGCTCCGTCCTGCGCTTCTTCTTCTTCTTCTTCGTCGTCGCCGTCGTCGTCACGCTGCTGGCGCTGGTGTTCCTTCCTTGCCTGCTCGTCGTGGAAGAACCTTTGGGCCGCGGCGAAGGCCTTGTACAACGGCATGTCGTCAAACGCCTTGGCCAGTATTCTCTTGGTTTGCCTCTTAGCCTCGTCCTCTCCTTTCTGCCGCTCCGGTGTCTCGGGCTCGGACGGGACAAGCAGCCACTCGACCTGCCAGTTGATCCTGCCCGAAGCCTTGCTAAAGTTCGTGCTGTTCTCCCTCTGTCTCGCCATGCCCACCGGCGCGCGCCTCAGCAGGATGCCGAAGCGGCCCAACCTCTTCTTGAACGGCATCGACGTGAGCGCGTCTTGCCTCGCGCCGCCGGCGTCTCCCTTCAGCACTTCTGTCACGAGGACTCTTTTCTTGCGGCCGTCCCGGCCCGTCTTCCACTGGACGCTGCGGACCTCGATGGGCCTCAGTTCCTCCGGGCGCAGAAGCTGCCTCTCCTCGACGATCTGCTTTTCGGAGCGCTGCACGGCGCGCTCGATGCCCGAGAGGAAGTTGAAGTCGTGGTCGACGCCGGCAGCGGTCTTGAGCTTTGAGGGCGGCACATAGGCCGTCGCATCGCGGATGCCGTTGCACGAGGACCACGCCTTGTGGCGCTTCGTGCAGGCGAGGGAGCAGGTGCGGATCGTGCAGCGCGGGCACTTGTATCGGGGGGGTTCGGTGTGGCAGATTGCGCAGAGGCTGGTGAGGAGGGGGTCGGCCATGGCCGCTTTCCTATTGTGAGGCTTGTTTCGAGAGAGAAGGGCGGTATGTAAGGTCGGTCCGCTCAGGGCTATATACTGTGTCGATTCGAATTGATGAAGAGTCCAGTGCGCGGCTCAATTGCTTGTCGAGTACGCCGTATTGAAGGATGAGGCAGACCGGGAGGCAGATCGTCCTGGAACTTTTTCTGTTATCTCAGGCTTATCGGCGACGGGCGACCAGGATGACGGTTCCAGCCAAGGTGAAACCTTTTCCCGGCCCCGTCCAACAGCCAGTCCCGGCCATCGCGCACTCTCTGGCGTGGCCCCGGAAAATCCAATGGTAATTTTCCGGTGGCGATGTTGTCACGATGGTTCGACACGATATACTTGATGCCAAACCATTTCTTTGGGTAGAGACTTGGGGGCGTGTGACGGGAGGTCCTCCACTCGAGAAACAGCAGCTGCTCTTCACCCTGGCTTCGATGGAAACCCCCTTCCCCAGGTGGATGGGCTCCCATACGGCAGTGGGAAAGGTGCGGTGCGTACGAATGCATTACAGTCTCGAGAATACCTCAACGTTAGGTTGTGTGTGGGTGTAAGTAAGGACTTCATTCTGTCCGCCAGGAACACCCAGTCCGCTACTCCATAGCATGATCTGATTACTCTATTTCCACCCCCGGTGCCCAGTTGGAGGGCGACAGTGACTGGCAGTGCACAACCAGGGTCGCCCCGCCATTTCACAGTTTCCCAACTGCATGTTTAGCAAAGGCGAGATAATCCCGGCGACAGTAACTGGGCCGATGACGTGGGGGAGTAGGTGGTCGGTCAAAGGCCGGATTCAGTGTTATGTCCGTAACAACCAGTGGGATACCAGATCTTCGTTTCTTGCGCAGATATGGCGAAAAGTCACACACACATTCACCACAGAAACGGCAAGTAAAATGTGCACTAGGACAAGAGCGGGTCTTTCCAACGAAGCACCGAGTCCTCATTACTGGGCTGTCACAACATCGGTCAACATGGGGAATGATGTTTCGTCCTAGAACTCTTGCTGGTTTTTATTGGATTGTGGGCAACAGGTGTGAACTGAAGATAGCGAAAGATTTTCACCCTCGTGAGATACAAGTGATATAACATTCGTGAGAGCATACAGCCCGTCCTCCAAGTGAGCACTGTTCAATTATCCCAGTACGAAACAGATCGGGGGTTTATCTCCAGGAAAGATGACAAAGAAAACTAGGGGGGGAAACCAACGCCGGACACGAAAGTAAGATGTCCACGACCGCCAGCCGCAAAAAGGTATAAGGTAGAACGAAAAAGAAAAAAAAAAAAAAGGAAGAAGAAATAGTATGAACAAGTCGGTAAATCATCCTCCCCATCGACCAGAGAAAAAGAATGTCTCCAGGTCGCTTGCCACCCCAAACAACTTATGGCCTAACCGCTCTCGAAGAAAACAGGTTAGCGGGTTCCGCCAAGGGCACTGATTCGAGCGCCGGATGGGCGGTGAATGAGGCTGTCAGTGTGCTTGCCGACAGCAGGTTGAGGCATCGCCTCAGACTCGCTGCGCTCCTCATCGAAGTCCTCCTCGTCCTCGACGATCTTGGTGGGGATGTCCTGATGGATCATGTACTGCTGGCTCGACCTCTCAGGGGTCGCAGCACTGGAGGCGAAGGACATCGCCGTGCTGCTTCGGTTGGGGACTAGGTCCGGGGTCGGGGGGATGCTGGAATTCCGGCCGTTGGCGGGGTGCAGGAGACTGTCGTCACCCATGTCGGACGTCGCATTCGACTGAGTCTCGTGGCCGTCGTCGCTATGAGTGCCCGACAGGTTGCTGCGACGGCGCTGAGCGCGAAGTCTGGCGGCGCTGGCGGCACGCTCATCAAAATCCGCGTCCTGGGCGAGCTGCAAGCCTTCAACAGCGGCTTGGCATTGCTCGGCAATGTTTCGGATAATGTGCGCAATGGCATCTGTCTTATCCTTAAGATGACGGTCGGCCACATCCTTGAAACTCGAGGTTGAGAGTCTCTTGTTTGCCTCAGCGGCAGCGGAGAGGAGACGAGCCTGGTTGGCGTCCGCATCCCTGGGCGCGACGCCATCTTCGCCAACCTCGGGCTCGAAGCCCTCCTCAATCTCACGCTCCAAGTCATCAGGCTTGGTTAGGGACTGGACGAGGTGCTCCATGTGGTGGCTCTGACCACCGATCAAGCTGCGAAGGTGCAGCACCACGCGACGAGCCTCGTCACGTTGTCTAAGAATAGTCATGTTGGTGTGCTGAAGAGCGGCAAGCTCCTTCTTGTTGCGCTTGCGCTCACGTTCAAGCTCCTCTGCGATCTCCTGCTGAAGGACGAGAGCCTCGAGGGCATCGTCACGCTGCTTCTCAGTGGCACCAAGACGAACGTTGAGACGGCCGTTGTCATCCTTCTGTTGGTCAATGAGACTTGCGAGACGTCTGTTCTCCCTCTTATGCGTCTCAATCTTGGACTTGAGGTCCTGGGTCTCCTTGGTGAGCTGCTCAGCGAACGCCTGGAACTTGAGAAACTAATCATGACAGTTAGCACATTACCCACACCCATCATGTGTTCGGAGAACTAACCTGTTGCTTCCAGCTCTCTAGCTCCTCGTTGAGGTAGTTGTTGCGCTTTGTAACCTTGTTGAGCTCGGTATCCATGCGGCCCTTGAGGTTGATGAAATCCTGCCAGGCTTCGAGAGCGTCGCGAGAGTATTGATTCCTCTCACGAACAATCTCGTTGAGATGCCTCATTGAGACCTTGGTCATCAAAGGCTTCTTGACAGAACCACCGAAAACAGCCTTGATGCCGGTGTTACGGCCCATCTTCTCGCAGACATGGTCCATGACGGCCATGACGGAATCCTGGTTCCACCAGTCGGGGTCCTGGATGGACTCGACTTCCCCACGCATAACGATAATTTGACCGGCAGGGACAAGCTTGCCGCCGCCATAAGCAGATCGGAGATGGGGGGGAACGCCGGAAGGAGTGACATCGCCGTTGAGGGACTGGGTGAGACGGGTGACAAACTTGTTGCGTTGGCTAGGGTTCAGTGCGGTCGGAGGGCTGGATGTGAGCACGAAGTTACGGTCGAGGTCAACAACCAGGGCATCGGTCGGAGCGGTAAAGAGAGAGCGACACTCGGCGGTGATACCAAGGATGTAAGGGCCAGGCTCCTGGACCAAATCCTTGGCGTGGCGAGCGTGAACAACGGGGACATAGAGACCGCTCCACTCATAGACGCGAACGCAGTACCGGATAGTCTCGGCAGCCATTGTAAGCATAGCCGGGTAGTGGCTGACGAAGATGATGCGACGAGTCGGCGAGATGGCGGCCTCGATAACGCCGACAATGTTGGGAATCGACAGGCAGCAAAACAGCGGCCACATGGCAAAGTTCTGGAAGCCGGTGGGCGAGGAAGGGAACTGGTAGCAGAGGGCGTAGTCCTTCATGTCAATGCGAACCAGATCGTTGAGTCTCGGAGCCGGAAAGCTGAGGATGCGAGAGACCTCCTCGGCGTGAAACAAATTGGTCGCCTTGTTCCAGTGGATCCACATACCTCGCAAGTAGTCCCCAAGAAGGTTGTAAAGCGGGTACCGAGACAAAAACGACAGGCAGTAAGGAATCCAGTACGTCTCGTCGGGGTTGTCATAGTAATCGGGCTCCGTTCGCTTGCGCAAGTCGCGAATGGTTTCGGCCCTCTTTTCATCGGCCCGCGACCAGACACGGAGGCAGATGCCGTACAAGGTGTGAGAGGAATCCTGCTGCAAGACGAAGGCGTGATGGACGCAGTGAGGCTGGCTGCGGCCAGTGCATATCTCAACATCGTGGGGAAAGCAGGCCTTGAATTTGTAAGCCAAAACTCGGAACACAATGGCAACAAATCAGGTTACTTACGCGCATAGCAGCATGCAGGGACCTCGCGATCTCGTTGTCCTGCTCCAGCCTTGGACTGCTTCCGAGAATCTCGGGGAGCCAGAATTGACCAACAGCTCCCTTCATGTGGCCAATCTTGCCCTGGGCGGGCGCAGGAGCCTTGACCCATTGGGAAGGTTCTCTGCCAACACCACATACCATGTAGGCGTGGGTCAGCGTCTTGGGGGTCCGCTGCTGAGGTTTTGAGTTCAGTGTAGAGGGAATCGGCTGGGTGATGCGTGAGTGGAGGGAAGAGGTGCGGCTCGGAATGATCAGGCTGGTGTCGCCTTGATCACGAGTGGTAGGTCGGCCATCGCGGTCGCTAGTCCGGGGGCGGGTAAAGGACGAGTGTGCGTTCAAAGAAGGCGCCATTTCGTCGGGTATTAGTCGTCGTTAGAAGAAGAATAGGCTGAAGAGTTGTAGTTGGATCGTATAGAGTGAGAAGGCGGCCGGGGAAGTATATGTTCCAGGCGGCGCACGCAGGTGACCAGCGTGTCGAAGGGAAAGGCGAGGATGGAACCGCGGGTTTCGAACTGAGGGCAAGCTACCCGGAGAGCAAGCTCTCGTCACGGATTTGTCGTCGAGTGCGTTGATCAAAAGGGCGCCATTCGAAAGGAGCCTCTTGACATAGCAAAGTCGACTGTCTCTGGTCTGGTCGGAGCGACAATTGAGGCTCAGGCACAGACGAGGAGGTTGACTGACTTGACTACTCGGTGACAGGTGGGGTGGAAGAGAAGAAACAAGAGAGGAGGGACGAAAAGAGGAAGAAATTGGAGACGAGACAAGAAGAAGCAGTCCCGGGTTGAGGTAAAAGGAGAAACTGACTGTGCGTGTTAGGGGGGGTAGGGGTGAGGGGGGGCAGCGGATTAGAGACCGGGGCCTGGGAGCAGGGGGGAAGGGTGGAGAGAAAGAGAGACAGAGAGAAGAAAACAGAGGCAGGTGGCCAGAAACCGAGGGTGTGCCACTGGCGGGCGAGCTAAGATAGAGTGAAAAGGGGGACCAAGCACTGCTGGGAGCGGAAGTGAACGGTCGGGAGCAGCTACAGCAACAGAAGAAACGGCCGGGGAATGAGAGCCTGCAGCAGCCAGCGTGCGGCGCAGCGAGGTACACTAGGTACGGTGCTCCGTGCCTTGATGCAAGTTCCAATGGTGGGTTACTTTCGAAGCAAGGTACCAGCACACTATGCGCACTCTTTGAGGGGGAAGCTGAATGCAGTCAGCTTGGATGCAGCCAACTGCAGGCTTTGGCGAGCGGAAGGGCACCCAAGGAGAAGGGTGAGGTAAAATGGTACTCCGGAGAGAGAGAGAGAGAGAGAGAGAGAGAGAGTACAACAAGAGCGGGTTGCAGAAACGGATAGCGATGGGGCAAAAGGACGGAAGTGCAAGGGGCCATGCACATGCAGGCAGCGAAGCGTTGCCGGTGCCACCACCAGTCGACCGGGGTGGGGGGAGAGTTCCAGGGCAAGTGCTAATACGGTATGTAGATACTGTATGTATCTCAAGTACAAAGTACGTATACACATGGTATGCATGGTAAGAGAGACTGCTCGAATATCCGTACAATTACAGCGATTGACTGGACAGGCCCAGGGTTTGATGACAAGAGCTGATGGGCAACCACGACATACCCACCAAGGCAAGAGCGCGCCAGACGGAGACCGGGGCAACGTGGGACTTGATGCTGGTCATGGATGGAATGGGATGGCCCAATGGGTCCTACGATGGGCGGGGGTGAGGGACCATTCCACAGGGGAGTTGACTCTTGCAGGCTTTGGGGCTTCAGGCCTTGGTAGTCTTGGGCGCTGCAAGACGTTGCAGGTGCTCGACGTCAGACTGCCTCCATCGTATCCGTACAGGTACGTGATATCGGGGACTCGGGGAAGCCGCGGGCGCACGACACGCGTTGTGTAAGTGTGGTCTACGGAGTACCTAGGTGGGTATAGTTGCGCAGTGCCATGCTTAGCTACCTAGGTAGACGCGGGAGGTCGTCGATGTCTAGCAAGATGGTCCTGTCGTCGCCATGGCGGGGAACCGTTTGCCATCGTACCCAACTTTCTTCATCGATTCTTTGTCGAGGGTTGTGTTGATAAGAAGAGTTTAAACTAGAATCCCACCGAGGCCGTGACCAAGGCAGGCGGTTTGAGAAACGAGCTGTTGATCATTCGAGCTAGGGCTGGCTGGTTGGCAGTTCCCCCGGCCCCTCCAAACTCTCCGGGCCCGATATTGGTCGTCCTCGGGACACACGGTCAGAAGCGGGAGACGACGGATATGTGTCGCCACGTCGGCGCACGGCAACGAGACGGGGAGGCGGGGCAGAAGAATGGAAAGGGGCCACCACCAGAGCCAAACAATCGAGTCAACCCAGAAACCAGACAGAAGGACCGCTGGAAGAAGCAGCGAAGCGAGACAAGTCAAGGCAAAAGGCAAGACAAACCCAGACATGACATAAAGTTCCCGTAGTATCCGTAGTACTCCGTACATGATAGAGTGAGCAAGGGAAACATGGAGCACGGCCCCCCTTTCCAGGTACCGGTAGGTAGGTATATCACTAAACTAGCTATGCACGAAAACCAGTTGCCTCATTGCATGCATTGCAGCAAAAAGGCTACACTAGAAAGGGAAAAAGGAAAAAGGGGGGCGCACAAAGCACGAATGCCACCGTCCTGTCCTGCATCAGTAAGCGAAAACCCCAGACAACCTTAGCTAGGTAGGTTGGGAAGCTACTGCAGCTACTGCAGCTACTGCTACTGCAGCTAGCCCAGCCCGTCAAACGATCCGATTGCTCTGGAAAGGGAGCGCCATAGAGCCAGTCTTTCTCTGTTTCCTTGTTTCTCTTCCTCTCTCTCTCTCTCTCTCTCTCTCTCTCTCTCTTTGTTTTCCGCCATCACCGTTGGGGTCGGGCCGGACTCACCCCGGCTCTACACTAAGCAGCAGCAGCAGCAGCAGCAGCAGCAGCCGAGCGGGAGATAGGGATGATGAGCCAGCAGTCAGTAGTCGACAGGGAGCGAAGAGGGCAATGCCCCCCCCCCCCCCCCCCCTTGTGGCAGGAAGCCCGTCAAACTAGCGTCGAGTCTTGAAGCTACTAGTGCCATGCGTCTTGCTCGTCACTTTCCCCTGCTAGTCGTCGTCGTCCTGCTGTGCCGTTCTTCCTGCTTGCTAGTTCTGTTTTTCTTTTCTTTTCCTCTTTCTCGACGCAGGGGCCCCTTTCCAAGAGAGACAAGGCCCACGTGTGACAGGATAGAATTGTACTGTACGGATACACTACGGAGTACATGCCTGTATTATGTATGGAGTATCCGTATCCGTACCTGTAGGTAATAATGTACCTATGTGGGCAGCACACTGTAAACCCGCACCCCCAAGTTGATGCAGACGCAACCATGTCAAACCCTTGGTCCGGCTGCTAAGATTGGGCCCCCCCCCGCCCTGTCCATGGTGGGTTCCGGCTGCTGACGACCAATAATCGCCGACGCCTCTCAGCACCGGCTGCTTTTGTGGGAAATTGCCCAGTCTCGTTTAGAAATCATGTCGTCTCTTGGTGACACCGCCCCTTCGTCACTTTCTGCCACCGCGTTCGTTTCTTCGCATTTACTCCGTACCTAGGCCGGGAAAACGACCTTGACTCTGCTGCGTTTGGCTCACGATTGTCGTCCCAATCCCAAATCAAACTTGGTCCACTGACGCCACCACCTCCCGCGCGGCGCTGCTTTCTCCGCCCACGGGAGCAGAGGCGCAAACGACGGCGCGTCGTCGTTTCCGTGTGGGCAACGGAGAGCGTGTTTTGGAACCTGAAAGACACATCAAACTCTCTCGGTAGCCATGCTCAACTGATCCGTCTTTGATCGGCCTGGTGCTGTAGATCAATTGTCGCAAATCACTCTCGCCCTTTCTTATGCGATATGGCGCCCAAAGCACGGGTAGAGAGAGGACCTACTGAGGACCTACATAGTACGGCGGGCACCACGCTACGTACCTTGTGTTGTGTCGCATTTCGGATCATGACTGGCGCCCACGTCGTACTGGACGCTACTCTACTTCCCACCACGCATAACTGACTGCAAATCAGAAAGCACCCAGAGAAAAAAGGGTATCCGAGCGGGCATGAAGCGACCACACCTCTCCAAGCCACTGTCCAAAATACGCGCAAACAAGCCATCTTCCAGGCCCCTTTCGCCAGGCGGATGACGAATTCAGGCCCAAGAGATCATCTGCCGATGCGCTCAAGCCCCCTCCTTCCCATCTCTGATCCCTAAAGTATTACCCTCGTTAAACGGGCCGTCCCCCAGGTAGCGATTTATTGGTAACGGGACATGGTGACGGACCTCCTGCGCCGGCAGCTGTCAGCCGTTGTGTTTGGCTGTGGGAGCACCCACGTTCAACGGACCCGGATCGCCGCATCTGCAGCACATGCCACACAACGCGAAGAGGCTTGGGCGTTTGGGGATGGGAGGGGTGTCGGATCCGCATAGGCACGCCAGAGCCTTAACATGGGGCATGCTGGATCATAGTACCACTGTGTGGGCAAACGTGAGGCCCTCGGCGAGCCATGATCGGGATTCCCTGGCACAGCCGTTGAGCTCCAACGTTGGGCCTGGTGGGATCGCGGCGGGCGGCGGCGCTCTTCGGGGGCTGGACCTTGGCCCAGACTCTCTGGTCTGCCACTGAGGAGGGTTGATATGCCGCGTTGCGCGATTCACTACCCGTCGGCTGTGGCTGTTCCTTCAGGGGCTGTCCTTGATTCCGCGCGATGGAGATTGAGTAGGTATCTAGGATCTCGGCTCGTATCGTGAGTGGGCCACGGGACGATGACGACGGTAATAAATCCCCTCAATAAAAGTATGGTATCGGTAAGGGAGAGAGAAAATAAAATTAGAGAGAGAAGAGGGGGGGAGGGGGGCAACGCAACCTATGGGAAGAAACAGCGCGCAGAGGAGGAAACAGCGCGCAGAGGGTATCGTGAGATGACGCCGTTGGACTGACCTGACCGTCCATCCAACGAGTGAATCTGCAAGGTTGTTGATATTGTTGGTCGTCTCGTCTGACCCCCTTCCAACCGGTTCCTCGGGCATAAACGACATGCCAACCCAAGAGGAAACATCATCCAATCTCTGGTAGAGAAGGCGGCAGCTCACGACAGGTCAGCCGCCCGATTTCAGATAAGGTGTTGGATGACCGAAACGTCCGTCGCATCCTTTCGAGCAAGCGGGATAGCCTGACAGGCTGGCTCAGTGGCAGCAGCAGCAGCAGCAGCAGCAGCAGCATGGGTGGGGCCTACGGGCCGTCTGCCGCCGGTTGGTTTGCTTCCACTTGACAAATATCCGTACATAGTAGTAGGGAGGTTTGTTTATCCAGCACGCACAAAATCTTTCCATA